TCTCTCCTTACCGATACACAGTAACGTGCTAGATCTATTCTTTCAATATTTGTTTCCTTGTTCCGGCCCTCTGGTTGTATGTCCCCTCCTTGTCGAGTTAGTCCTGTAACTACGGCGGCGACAGCGGTCCATTTGTCGAATCTACTGCTGCATACTTGTAGTTGTATAGTGCCCCTCCCCCCCTCACTACAAAAACAGCCCCCCCGATCACCAAAACAGCACCCTCCCCGATCACTAAAGATGCAACCCCCCCTATCACTGAAGATACACCCGTTCCTATCACTGCAGAAACATCCCTCTCTATCACTGCAGAAACACCCGCCCCTCGTCGAAAAGAAGCAGCCCCCTGTTGACGACCAGAAACATCCTGGCCTGCTGTCGTGGACGGCATACCGCTCGTCGTTGAAGAGTTTGGTTAGGTTATCTGGTTGGGGTTGCATTGGTGGTTGGGGTGTGTACCCGCAGGTGTGAGGACGGGATGGAGTACAAGCCTGTTGGGGTTTGGGCTGGTCGGACTGTGACTGAGATTGGGAATGGGACTGGGATTGAGATTGGGAATGTTGCTGGAGGGTTGTTTCGTAAGAAGGAGGAGGATCGGAGGGCGAGGCAGGCTCATCTTGGGGGTTGTAGGGGGTTGTTTTGCTGAGTTTGGCCATGTTTGTGCGATGAATGGATGCCTGGATGAGATATGTTGGCGAGATTCTTGAATTGAATTCAGCTGAATGCAGGCGTTAAGAAACACCGATCTTCAAAAATGAAGATGTGCAACCGAAAAGAACCGATGGACCAAAAGTGCGAACATGCCCAGAGAATTATACCCAGCATATAGGATCTTGTGCAGTGCTTATGCCGGCTGCCTCCAGTATTGGCGCCGCCCAGCAGCAGTGGTATGACGTTTCCATTTTGGAGGTTGCTCGGATTGCTCGGGTTCGCACCAATGAGAGAACCGACAAAGGTACGCTCACATTTGACCAAAAGCTTCGGACGCGTCATGCCACACTCTTTGGTCTGATGGTAAGTCGGGTGGTTATCTGACCGAATTATTTCCATATCGTGTATAGTTGAGAGTTCTAAGCTAATTCAACAACATGTGACAGGCCCCAGAGATACGCCAAAAGTTCACACATTTCCAAACAACCCTTCAGGAGTCGTCAGCTTCGTCGCCAAAATCACAACCCCTCCAGCCAGACACATGATACCACTGAACAGAGAAGCCTCCAAATATCCCCCATATTTATCCAACAGCACCCCGTTGACCGGCGGCCCAACCAAGATGGCGATAGAACCAACAGCCAAACCCATCCCAATGTAAGTCCCCAAGTTCTGCGGATTAGTCGTGCAAGTTGAAAACGCAGCCGAGTTCGCCGACACAATCGTGCCCGATGTCAACCCAATAAACACAGCATACACCACCAACCCAGCCGTATCAGTAGCCTTGGTCAAGCACAGGACCACAATCCCCGTCGACAATGACCCAAACCCGTAGATATTCAGTTTCCCATATTTGTCGGCCAGAATTCCTGGTAGGATCCTCCCAAATGTCGATGCTCCATTCACGATAGCCAGCAAATACGACGCCAAGATCTTGTCCATCCCCTTCGACACCGCATACGAGGGCAGAAAAAACAACGGTGTAAACATCCCCAGCAATACAAAGAACCCGGCAGCGACCAACCCCACAAATCTCAGCTCTGTAAAGGCTGACCATAGGAAGAACTTCGTCTCTCTCGGCGGCAACCTCGCCCTCAGCGAAAAGCAACAGAACACCATCATAGGCGCCACAATGAACCCTATCACCCTAACCGACCACCCGAACCCCAGACTGGTATCATTCAACATCTTTCCCAAAGCAATAGGGAAGACAATACCTCCAATGCTACTCCCGCTAACCACCAACCCCAACGCTGCAGCCCTCTTCTTGTCAAAATATTGTGACACGACCGCAAAAGCAGGGACTTGTATCATTGCCGACGCTAATCCCGTCAAGACCCCCTGAGCGAGCATGAACTGATAGTATTCTTGACACAAACTCGTCATCATGATGGCCAAGACGTAGAGGATAGCTCCGATACGGATGACCCATGTCCCATAACGGTCAAAGAGTGGGCCCGAGATAGCCCCAAAGAGAAACTGCATACATGCCGTGACAGAGCCGATCCAGGATATTTGATCGGGGGTATGCGATGATAGCTGGTGGGTTCCATAGTATTGGAGAAAGATACCGAAAGAGTTGACGATGCCGAGGCAAGAGAAGAAGATGCAGGCTGCGCCGAGGGCGACGGACCAGGCGCGGGCGCCGCCGTCGGGGGCTGGGCCGTAGAGGTCGGTGAGTGTGGGAGGTGTAGATTCCGAGGTCTTTTCGAGGTCTCGAGGTTGGTCGGGTATGGGTAGCTTTTCAGAGCTGCTTCTGGAGGATGTGCTTTGAGAGGGAGCCGGGGGTTGGCCTGAGTCTACCATTGTGCTGAGAGATTGCTGTTGGTACCAAGTTAGAGAAACCAAAACGGTAAACCAACAATATGCGACAAGTGTAGAAACGAAACCCAAGGCACCGGTGCCTGTACCAGCATTTCCCCTAGGGGATGCCGAGACATGTTTTTATATAAACGCCGAAGAGGATAGTTGAAAAAGTCGCCGAATGTGGATAAGGCCGGGCCGGAGATAAGAATCGCGGACTCGGCATATTGGGTTGGGTGAGCGAGGCCTGGACCAATGACGTCGGGCTGTTGGCTCCGAAGGATTGAATTTCCCGAGTGAATTTCCTGAGTCCTCGGTCGAATGTGATGTGAAAATCCCGAAATCTGTCAAAGATGTCGGACATTGTTTTTTATCGACAGAATTTGCCGGCAGATTGAATCGAGATGGAGCATACTGGCCAAGGTGGTGCTGTTCGACGACGGAGAAGACCTGCCGTGTGAGTTGTTCCTTTTCAGTAATGAAACTTGAGAGTTAGGAAGTCACGCTAACCACAGAGTTCCACTGATAGCTCCTGCATCACTTGCAGAAAACGTAAAATCCGCTGTGATCGGAAGGCGCCATGTGGAAACTGCCTCAAGTCGAAAGGCTCCAGTTGCTCTTACCGTGACCCTCCCCTCTCTCCTCCAAAGGCCACCACTCCCAGATGTGCAACCTCGCTGCCAAATGACTGTGTCGACGATGAGAACGACGAACTCGATGTGGCCAGCTGTTTCTCCATCACTACTCCTCCAATGCCACCGTCTCTTGTTAACACGACTAATCTGGGCATCGCTGGCACATTTCACATTCACCATGAGTCCCGCCAGGGACAACCGAACGTCGGTACTTTCAGCATAGCACACAAGACCCGCTACTTCGGCCAAAGCCACTGGGTCAACAGCATTACCCTGGTTCGAGACTTATTTGCGATCCTTGAGCCACACTTCCGCAACAATTCTTCTCCCCATCGTCGGGTGCATGCTGGAATGCAAAGGTCTGGCAAAGACATTGAAGTCTCGAGTGCTCTCTTGTTGGCCGTATGAACCACTCTTCGACGTTCCGCCAGACCACGACGATCTGTTACGGAACTACATCTCAACATCAGAAAGCATCTTTCGTGTGATGCATATTCCCTCTTTCACTCGAGACTTCCATGCTCTCTGCACATCGCCAACTCCGCCGACTAATGCAGCCTTCATTGTTCAAGCCAAGCTTGTCTGTGCCATAGGTGCGACTCATACTGACACGGTATTGCGACAAGAAGCCACACAATGGGTGCAAGATGCACAAACATGGCTCTCCAAGCCGGACTTCAAGCATCAACTTTCCCTTCAACATCTTCAATCCCATATTCTGTTGCTTCTCGCCCGCAAAGCTGTCGGTGTAGCGGAAGACATGATTTGGATCTCGGTTGGCTCGCTCCTCCGCACAGCCATGTACATGGGCCTGCACCGCGATGGTGTCATTGGAACATCCCCTAATACAAACCTGTTCACATCAGAAATGCGCCGCAGGATCTGGAACACTATCCTCGAGCTATCTGTTCAGTCCAGCCTGAACTCTGGAGGTCTGTCACACGGCAAAAGCCACCCACCTGTAACCACAACCAACAACACTGTCGATACCACCGCAAGGAGGGGTAACTGCAAGTTGTGAGCCTCTCGTTCAAAGTGAGGCAGACAATCAGAGGCATGGCGGTTATCAAAGGAAGCCCACTGGCCCAGTAGGATATTGAAGGACTTGGCGATGGCCTGAGGCCAACAAAGGCACGGGCCACGCGAGGGAGGGTAAAATACGCGTTTGGAAACACCAAGACTGTATCTCTTCTTCTTCTTTTCGGTATCACGCTCTTCGAGGCCATTGAAGATTATTAGCCTGAATTGAACCATGAGTTCCAAGCCCTGATATTACAGCCCTTGTTACATATAATCTTTAAATAATCGAAGACGATAAACAACACACTAACCACCACCATAACGCGCATATCACCACTTACCCCGCTTTCCTCCTTTGTTGATGTCCACCACATCATCATCAGCTCCACCCTCAGATATCGTTGAAGGCTTCGTTCCACTACCTTGCAACCCTTGGGTTAACGACGACGAAGACTCGGACTTCACTACAGGAGAATACTCCTTCAACGCGTCGCCCATCCCGCGACCCTTCATTCCCGGCTACGCCGCCCACCTTCCTCTCCCGACGTCACTAGTCACGGTGTCGCCTACGTACGCGACCGCTCGAAACCTACAAGAAGAGCTCGACAACGCATCTATCTCCACATACAATATATCGGACTATCGCTCCCCTTCGGCCGAGCCGGTCCAGGTCAATGACCACATGGAGCTCACGCTCTACTCCCCTCAGGACTTCGAAGTCATTATAAGCGATCCCTCCGACATCCAGCCGTTACCTGGTACTATCTATAATCCGGCACTATAGATTATTGAACTTTATCGCCGAATGAGCGAGGCTTATGAGGGTATACGACAGCTTACTTAATAATAATATAAGGAGCGTATTAACCACTAATAACTCGTATACTTTAAACAGCAATACAAGTATATCCGCGAACAATATACTATTTACGCGGATATAGTTAAGCTCGGGGTCTAGGTTTCTAAATAATAAATCAGGCACTTCCGGCAGTAAATTAAAAATAATAGCGCCGCTTTTGCGAACTAAATCTAGAAAGCTATCGCAATTATTTTTTAAAACGAATAATAACGTTAATAAACTATCGAGTAGCTTAGCGAAGCGGCTAGCCGATACTACTCCGCTTTAGTAACCTTCGAAAAGGAAATTATATTTTAAAAGAGATTTAATAACGATATTTAGAAATAAACTAATTTACGTAAATAAAATATCGCTAGACTCTTAGCTAAGGAGTTCGTCGATCCCGCTACTCTAAACGAATATAAATAAATCGTTATAAAATAGATTAAAAAGATTATAAGAAAAGATTTTAAGGAATTTCGCACTTAAATAGAACGGAATCTTAATACCGATATCGACTCTATCTAGCGTAGCGTTAATTAACGCGTATTAATATAACTATCGTAATTAACTATTATTATATTATTAAAGGTATTATCCTTAACTTAGCGTATTAAGGAGCGCTTAACTACTTAGGCACTATAAGATACTTAAGTACGCCGTATAGCTTAATAAACTAATATCTAATTCGAATTATTTCGGGCGAGTCCTATATATATAACACTTACTTTTAGTAATAACGGAGGAGGAAACTTCTTCCCATAATAAATTATCGTTATTAACGGAAAATTACCCTCTAATCCTAACGACTCGAATATAAAGGACCTTAATAATAAACAATAAGAAAGAGGACCCCCTAACGGAGGAGATAAAGGATTACCTAGAGGTCCTCTAGCCTCGCGTAACCGCTTATAATCACTAAATCCCCCGAAGCGAAATAACTTTACTTAATTTATTTATTAATTTTCCTAAATATTAGTCTAAATTAACCCGGTATATATAGTAAAACCCCCGGCCTATAATAATAAAAACTTTTTTAAATTCCGGTCTTAATAGTTTAAAGTAGAAATATATATAGATTCCTACCCTATAAAGTTCCCCACCGATTAAATTAAAATTAATTAGGTTAGATTACTTTTTACCGATAAAAGCTAAATATAATATTAATAGTAAATTAATTAAATATAAAGACTAAGCTTTATAAATACCTAAAGTAATTATATTACCGTTATTAAAGAATACTTTCGGGATATAGCCGAAAAATACCGTAATACCTATAAAATATAAAAACTCCGGTATTAAAAAAATATTTTATAATACTTAACCGAGCTTATAGACCTTAATAAAGTAATTTAATAATCGGGAATTACGTTTTAGAGTTATATTTTAAAGGTACTTCCGGACGAAATTACTAAATTAATTTACTCGAGATAGGAAAGAGTTTTAAAGATAAATAAGAATTTCCTTTACACTATCCGAAAAGTAAATTATATTTATAAAAATATATTTATAAATCCTAATATCTTAATTAACTACCGGGTAAAAAAAGATATACTTACTTCGACTTCGGAGCGCTTAAAGTCGGGCCCTCTCTATTAAAGTCGTTTTTAATAATTATTAAACTTATCCTTAAAAAATAGTAAAGTATTTTCTAAACTACCGAACGTTAAACCCGATTTAAAAAATATTAAATAAGTAACCGTTAAAGAGGCTTTAGCGGGGATCTTTTAAAAAAACGTTAATAGGTATAAGAAAGACGGTTCTATTTATTAACAATATAGTCGTAATAATTACTATACCCTCACTTACTTCGCTAGAAAGGATATTTCTAGTAACGACCTCCCCGCGGCTTTACCTAAAGTAATTAAAGTTAAACGGAAGGCCGAAGAAAAAAAGAAAAAAAAAAAATAATATTTTTAAAGAAAGTACGAATCGACGCTATCGGAATTTACTTTAACGATAATCCACTAGTCTTTAAGGTACCCGACAACGATATATCCGGCACCGAAACGGGTTTTTACTAAACCGCCTACTTACGCCGATAGGATACTATCAGTTAACCGGCGTTATTATTACAGGAGTTAAGTGCCTTTACGAAAACGACGAAGAAAAGTAACTACGACGCCGGTTAAAGGTAAGAGCCCGGCCTATTATTAATATAAATATTATTAAAGCTATTATAAGCCGCCCCCGCGAGTACTTAGTATACGTCCTCCTTAACCTTAGTAGCGTAGTGCCTATCCTATCGGAAGATATAGTTAAGCGCCTTACTATTAAAACTTTCCACCACCCTCCTAAGTTCTACCTCCAGTCCTTTACTAAAAAAGGAAATATAAATAAATAAGCGCTCTACTCCGATACTATAGTACTTAAGTACGTAGAAAACTATTTTACGCAGCTTTAATTTAAAGTAAATAAGTTTAATCCGGAATATAATATTATTTTATTATATTAATAGCTATAAAAATATTAACCGGCTAGGTTCTATAATTAGGACCCCCGGAAAATTATATTTATATTTCTTATTTACCGTAAGCGGTATACTAGCCTAATAGTATTCGGGAAAGTTAATAAAATTATTTTTAATATAACCGACGATCGAAGCTTTATTCCTAAATACTTCCGGGACCTAGTACCGCTAATCCTTTATAATATCTTTTAAAAGTTATTAAATTATAAGCCCTAAAACTATACTATCGACCTAATCGATAATAAAATATTACTGTAGGGCCCTATTTATTCCTTTAGCGGTAAAAAACTTAAATTTTTATAAATATAATTAAATAAAATATTAATAGAAAACAAAATTAGGCCTTCCAAATCCCCTTACAGTACTCTCGTCTTTATAATTAATAAAGATACCTCCATCGAAAAAAAAGGAAGGTATAAGGACTACCTCCGGCCCGTAATCGATTAAAGAGTATTTAATACTATTATAATCCTTAATCGGTACCCTTTATCGCTTATTACTGAGCTACAAAACTGCTTTACGGGAGCCAAATACTTTACTAAGATCGATTTAAAGAATAGATTTAACCTCGTCCGAATTAAAAAAAGCAATAAATAAAAAACAACTTTCCGTTACCATTATAGTCTCTTCGAATTTACGGTTATATATTTTAAACTAATTAACGCCCTAACTACCTTCTAAACTATAGTTTATAAAGTCCTTAGTAACTTTATTAATATAGGAGTATTAATATATATAAATAATATCCTTATATACGCCGATACTATAAAGGAGTACGACCGGTTTACGAAAGAAATATTATAGCGGCTAAAGAATAATAATTTTATTATTTTAATTAAAAAAAATATATAAGTAATAAAGTAAGTTAAATACCTTAAATATATTATTTTTAAGTATAGGATCTCTATATTTAAAAAGAAAATAAATTATATTTTAAATTAAAAAAGGCTAACTACGCTTAAAGCAATTTAATCCTTTATTAACTTCGCTAACTTTTATTAATATTTTATTAAGGGATTTTTAATTATTATTTAAACCTTTATAGTTTTATTAAAGTTCGACGTATATTAATAAAAATAAACGTAGGTTATAGAGCTTACGTTTAATAAATTAAAAAAAGTTTTTATTATTACCCCGATCCTTATTTATTTCGACCTTACGAAACTCGTAGTCCTAAAAATAAATACGTTTAACTTCGTTTTAGGCGGAATAATATTCTAGAAAAAGAACGATAATAAACTTTACTTAATCGTTTTTTATTTTAAAAAGTTTACTAAACCGAAAATAAATTACGAAGTATATAATAAAGAGTTACTTACGATTATTAATTATTTTATAAAATAATGTAGATACCTAGAGGGAGCGGATTATTATATTAAAGTATATTCCGACTATTAGAACCTAATATACTTTATTACGGTTAAAGTCTTAAATAAATATTAAGTAAGGTAAGCGTAAAAGCTTACTGCCTATAACTTTATTATTATATATCGTTTAGGACGGTTAAATAGTAAAACCGATATACTTTCGAGACTCGATTAATATTAACCTAAAAAGGGGGGAAATAAGGACTAACCGATTACTTTAGTCCTAAAAAATTATTATTTTTTACCGTTAAACGAAGGACTTTTTTTTTTAATTTCTTCCGTACGGTTTATTAGTATTCCGGCTATATTAGTGTAGGACGAAGGGTTCCTCGCTAAAGTCAAAATAGCCGCCCGTTAAAACGCCGGTTATATTAAAGATCTAGCAATATTACCTAAAAACGAATACGAAAATTAAAGTTTACTATACTATAATAACCTATTAAAAGTCCCTAACGATTTAGTATTACGAAAAAAAATTCTCGAATCTAAATACAACTCCATCGTCGTAAGCTACCTAGGTATAGATAGGACTATCGACCTTATTCGGCGTAATTTCTAATAATTAAGTATAAATTAGTATATCCGTAAGTACGTACGAAAATATAAAAAGTATTAATAAAATAAAAACCTCCGCTATAATACGTTTAGGTTACTTTAATTAATAGAAATTCCGTAGAAGCCGTAGAGAGCGATTTCTATAAACTTTATTACGGATTTTCTATTATCCTCTAGGTGCGACTCGATTTAGGTTATTATAAATATATTTACGAAGATAATATACTTTATTCCTCTATATATAGAAGCGAAGAAAATTAATAATTTAATCCGGATTTTCGCGTATAAATATTAATAGCTCTACGGTATACTAATAGATATTATTTTAGACTACGATTTACACTTTACTATTTACTTATAAAAGGATTTCTTAAAGCTCGTTAGTATTAAAAGCCGTATAAGTACGGCGTTTTATTTATAAATAAACGGTTAAACGGAAATCGTTAATTAAAAACTAAAAATATATTTCCGTACCTTTATTAATTACGAGATAATTAATTAAAATAAATTACTTTCTATAGCAAAATTCGCGTATAATAATACCCGTAAAGTATTAATAAGTATATCGCCTTTCTTCGCTAACTATAGTTATTACCCTACCTTTAATAACCTTTCGTCGAATACTATTATTTATAACCCTTTAAGCCGGCTATACGCCTACTGAATAACTTAAGTTTATAAGGAAGTATAGAATTCCCTAAAAAACACCTACAAACGTATAAAGCAGTAAGTAAATTTAAAAAGAAAAGAAGTACCTTCGTTTAAACAGGATTAATTAGTAATGCTTAACGCCAGGTATATTAAGACTCGTCGACCCTCTAAGAAGCTGGATAAGAAGATGTTAGGTCCGTTTAAAATCCAAAAGGTAATCTCGCCTACCGTTGTCCGACTAACTCTCCCTAAACACTAGCGAATCCACAATACCTTCCACGTCTCCCTTATCGAGCCCTATCGCGCTGGCGGATAGGCACTGCCTGATCCAGACTAGGTCCTGCGAGAAGCTAAGCCGGTAGAGGCAGAAGACTATTAAGTGGAAAAGGTGATGGATTCGACTACAATGGGTGAAGAAGTCAAGTATCTGGTCAAGTGGGAAGGTTGGCCTTAACGGAGACACTGGACGTGGGAGCCTTACGACCACTTCTACAGCGACGGAGCCAAGACGGCTTTACGAGCCTTTCACGCCCAGCACCCTGATAAACCGAAGGACTTACGTATCGAGGCATGAAGCTATCACCAAGCTCGTGGGCGAGCATGAGAAGGGGGGAGATGGTGTCACACGGTAAAAGCCACCCACCTGTAACCACAACCAACAACACTGTCGATACCACCGCAAGGAGGGGTAACTGCAAGTTGTGAGCCTCTCGTTCAAAGTGAGGCAGACAATCAGAGGCATGGCGGTTATCAAAGGAAGCCCACTGGCCCAGTAGGATATTGAAGGACTTGGCGATGGCCTGAGGCCAACAAAGGCACGGGCCACGCGAGGGAGGGTAAAATACGCGTTTGGAAACACCAAGACTGTATCTCTTCTTCTTCTTTTCGGTATCACGCTCTTCGAGGCCATTGAAGATTATTAGCCTGAATTGAACCATGAGTTCCAAGCCCTGATATTACAGCCCTTGTCACAAGGTCCTCCCTTGATATCTCTCCAAGACTTTGACACAAAGCCTCCATCCAACTTGAATGATGAGGACTTGCATTCGGACCAAGCAATCCCCAAAGCAGACGGAGTATTTACCTCTACAGCAATTTCCCTCGCCCTTCGAAAGACACTCCCAGTACGCCTCGCCATTGTCAAATTTCTCAATGATTGGTCTTCACCAGGCGATTACCCAACCGCTTTGAAGCTTGATTCTGATTTCAGAGCAGCATACACACTTCTGGCCAAGTTCCTATCGCACGTTTCCCACTCCAGCAATGCGCCACTCACAAACGTGAACCGCGAAGCTGTCGTGAACCACATCAATCTCCTGCTTAGACGCCACCTTCTCGCCCTCCATCTACCTTTCTTTCTCCCCTCTCTATCCAGACCAGAGTTTGCTTTTTCCCGGGTGGTTGTAGTAGATACAGCACACCGTATCTGGCGAGGTGTCTTTTCTACTTCAGATATTGGCGCAAGCAATGTCGCCAAATCATCCGCTTGTTTTCGGACCGTTTCCATGCAAGTTATCATCGTTCTGTCAACTCATCTTCGAGCGCAAGCTGCCGACCCAATTTCCGGGGGCATGGTTAGAGAAGACTTGGTGGCGATACTTGAGGAGGCAAAACAGTGGACGTGGAGGTGTATTGAAGGAAGGGAGACGAATGTTAAGGGGTATCTGTTCGCTTGTTTAGTGAAGGCTAATGTGGATGCTATGAGGGAAGGCTTGACCGAGCCTGAGGTGGTGAAAAGAAGTCTTGAGGCGGCAGAAGAGGCTATTCGCAAGGCCCGAGAGGTATTGAAAGAACGATTGCGAGCCTTGACGAACATGGAGCCATCGTGCGGGGCCGCAACGGTGTTGGGGAATCAAGGTGAGACTGTTGATATATGTGACGGTAACAATGAATGGGAGCAGCTTCAAGAGACCTTTGACTTTTTCGGGGGCAGTGATGATTTACAAGGTGGAACGGGGATGATGTTGGCGGATGGGGATAATTGGTTTCTAGATTTTGGAAACGGGCTTCTTGTTTGATATTATGCTTCTATGGATGACCTCCGAGTCAACATGCCTTGGGTCCCGAGGGGGTGGTAACTGCCCGTGGGAATTGTTGCGGAGCGGGTAGCTCCGGAGATGACGTTGATGAGGGGTCAGGTGCGGGACGGCCGGTGATATCATCCCGTGAGACCCTTCCCAAACACATGTCCTAAAAGAATTGATGCCACTGCAAAACAAACAGCGCGTTCCCGAGCTCAGCGAAAGAGATGTTTCAGTGATCAGTGACGGCAACCAGTCAAACTGAGCGCTGGCCCATGTGATTTCCCTTGTCAGTGCTGCCTGCCGCCATCACCTCGGGCTGCCAGCTGGTTGGGCACCTGCGCCAGCGCACCTCCGCGAGCCCAACGTCATGGATCCGACTCACACTCAACAAGCGAATGTCGCAATAAAACAGCACTCACTCCGCAATGATTCTCCGTTCTGAAAGCAACTTTGATAACCGCCCCATCGTACATTTCCCGTCTCGTCGCAATGCTGCTGAATCCAATCCACCTCAATCACTTTCACCAGCCCTCCCCACCACCTCCACCACGGCAACATGTCGAGGAAGTGGACCCCTTCGAGGCCCTCTACAACTCCCTTTCCAACCTCACCCTGACCCCCACCACTCTCATCCCCAGAGCCCCAGCAGCCGTCAGCAAACCTATCGCTCCAGCGCCAGTACCACAACCTCAACCAGCCATTGTAGATAAGCAACAAGATGAGCAACGGATTCCTGTCAACCTCATCTTTCCCCCAGGAGACAACGTCATATTTGCACACTCTTCATACTTTACCCGTCCCAAATATGCATTCCAACCGGACCTTCCCAGCGTGCCCCAGGTGCGGGGACAAGCTATCCTCTCACATGGATCTCTGCCATTACCATCACCATACTACCTCCCCGCGCCACAAGCAGGACTGCTGGTCAAGTATGGCGCAGACACCGCGGTTACCTCGACTGAAGCCAAGACATTAATGACCCTCAAACGGTACCTCAGCGACAAGGTCCCCGTCCCCGAAGTCTTTGGCTGGCGACGGGACATCGGAACTGGGGAGCGAGTCCTCTACCTCTCTCTGCCATCAGAGGAAGTAACACTCGAGCAACAATGGCCATATCTATCCGACGCCCAGAAAGAGCACGTCTGTCTTCAGATCAAGGATATGGTTAAATCATGGCGTCGTCTCCAGCCAGGAGGAGTCGAGGTAGTGGGTGAGTTCCCCTCCCCCGTTTTTTGACCAACAGCAACTGACCCCCGGGAAGCAAGCATAGACAACACCCCTCTCAAAGACGAAATCTTCCAATTTCCCTCCTCCCCAGGCCTCAAAATCCCCGCCCCAGGGCCCTTCCCCAACGTCTCCAACTTCCACAGCTACTTCGTGGCCACAGCCGTGGCCCTCTCCCAAACCAAGCAAAAAGATGATACCCCCGCCAAGATCAATTACCAACCTCATCATCTCTTCCCCAACAACGTCCCCATTGTCTTAACGCACGGTGCTCTCCACCCAAGAAACATCATCATCTCTATGAACGAACAGAACCAGCCAACGGTGACGAGTGTGATTGGCTGGGAGCAAGCAGGCTGGTATCCCGCCTACTGGGAGCTATGCAAGGCAAGATATGAGTGCTCCAAGCCAAAAGAGGAGAACATGTCGTTGACAGATTGGGAGAGCAAGTACTTGCCTGCGATTGTCAACTTGGATGGGTTCGGGATGGAAGAGCAGGGGTGGAATGGGAGGGCGCTGTGCCAGTATTGGGACTATTTTGTTGGGTTGATGCATCGGTGGCAGTGAAAAGGGTTCATTTTTGTTGTATTGTATCTATCCGCCATGAGTAGGGACCGGAAGGCATGCCACGGAAGAAAAGCTGGTGACGTTAAAACACGCGAGATTACATTGTTAAATATACCAGCCTCATGTGTCATGAAGGAGGTTTCGTGTATGTATCTGAACATGAACAAGAGGCATCAAAACATTGTTGACCCGACCTCCAAAAATGAACCAGTCCTCTTCAACTGGTGAGGGCACTCCTTTACCATATCTGCCTGTCTTAAATAAGCTGTGATCGCCAAACTTGACCTCCTCCCCCCCGGCACAAGGTGTACCAGGTAGGAGGACAGGGAGCTACGAAGGGGCCGTCTCGTTTTCAGAGTTGCGAAACCCTGCGTCATACAAATGGAGACTGCCCTGCTTCATGAGAATACAAACCCTAAAGGATAGCAAATATGGCCTTTAAGATGATCCAACAGCCCATCAAAGAGAGTCAGGAGGCCTGTTACTACAAAAATCACCATTTCGTCGAAGAATCAACGCCGCCGACGACGACGAAAAATCGAATATAACACCTCGCGCGGTGGGCTATCGGCATCAAAAGATGGCCCTGGGAAGGACCGCGAGCACGAGTGATGTTACGCGCATATTTTCGCATACGCGCGCACCGAACACCATGGCAACCGATGCAGCCAACGCCATCGAGCATCTCGAGCCGGCAGCTTTTCCATTCACCGGCACCACGGCCTGCCCTCGCGGGGGGGGGGGGGGAGGGGGCATACGTGGCGAGACCATCATACGAATACACATACACTACACAGGCGCAAGAATGGGTATAGGCCAGGCTGGAGGCCTGGGACCGGAGCCAGGCCCGGTGAACAGAGGGACATCTACGCCTTCAACCAACTGCCACCGCGACGACGCACAGGTTTGGGAGTGGTGATATATGTGGGCACATGGCCCTGGGTGTTGGACGACATCATGTATATACAGTATAGCCACCACGGCCCTAACCTATCTTCAGATAGTATGTACGTGCCCGGCAACCCGGGCGGGCCAATAAAACACACACACACACACACACACACACACTGCGACAGTCTAGGGCGGTTCGATTCTCTTTCCAGCCCTTCAACAAGAGGCCCGAGACCTCACCATCACGATAGTCGAGGGCGCTGTTCCTCTATTTGAAGGCATCTGAAATAATCAAGAGAATTTAATAAAAATAGTAGAAAGCATTATAACTGTCTTTCACAGCCTTTCAGGAGAGTCGCACAAGGCCTTTTAAGATGCTCGAGGGGCCTCACCAAGATATTCAAAGGTGTTGTTATGCTCCTCTGAAGCCTTCATCTTATTTGTGTGTGTTCGCCATGGACTGGGCTTGACAGTGAAGTGTACATGATACCCATCTATCCACCCATTGCAGAAAAGAAAAAAAAAATCGAAAAAGAAAAGAGAAGTCCGCTGATGTAACCGCCATTACGTGTCCTTCATCGTTCTGAAAACTTCCATCGGACGAAATAGATCCTGTGTCAAAGTCCTTTCCAGGCCAGCAGTGGTCCTTCCACCATGGTGGCATTGGGAATTGAAGGAGGCGAATAGACTTGGAAATCCTCTCGTCCAACTTGATTTCCTTCTCACACGAGAGCCCCCCAGAGAATCCGCAATCCGCACCGTGTAGAATTGGTTGCTTTTGTTGCCGTCAGGATGGGGAGCTGCCCAAAAAGGCTCTGGACTTTTGGTTGCGTCTGAACGTACTGGGCTTGGAAGTGTACTCGGGATAACGGGCTCAGATCATTTTCTGCCGCATTCGCAATCATCGTTCAGAGTGGCAGGGAGGTTGTTGTTTTGAAAGATGACGTAGATACCATCTGAGCGGACCGGGACCGGGTTGGTAGGGAGGAACTGCTGCTGATGACCAGAAGGAATCTTTCTGAAATCCTTCCAATCCCGTTTGACTCGCACGTCGACGGTGAAGCCAGTTGGGTGCCGGCTCAGGGGGGGGGTGGCGTTGCCGTCAACGGTTCCGGATTCTGGGCGACGAGCATACCATAAGGGGCTGAGTTAGAAGAAGGGCATCACGAGGTGGGGTCTTTCGGCGACGAGGCGGAGCATGTGGTAGTTGACCTATCGGCTGCGGGGCGGGCATGGTGCGTATAGGCCGTGGGGCGGGGGGGTGGGAGGTATGATATGTGGGCAATAGGGGACTTCGTCCGTTGGAGTGAGTGACCAGGGGCTCGTGGTGAATTGGTAAACGTTTTGGGTGTCATGGCCGATAGGATGGTAAAAAGGCTTGCGGAGAAGAGCCATGGAACCATGATAGAGGCTAATGAATTCGTGCTCGATGAGGTCTATTTTACTGGACATGAGGCGGGCGGCGGAAACACCGACTTCTTGTAGGCGCCCAGACTCCCATTTGCGGAGTTCGTCGGGCGGGATTTCAGAGAGGCTCCAAATCTCCGATGTTGACGCTGCGACCCAGGAAGAGATTGGCGGCAAGCTCCGTAATGTTGCGGGGCCGAATGTATAACGATGAGTACGATGTTCGGAGCTCAGGACAAACTTCTCCATGTTGTTCTTCTAGTAATTCAGTAAGATGTCGACGAGGTGGAAGAACACCTACACATCTAAGGGACGTTGAAAAAACCATCACGGCTTAAGTGTCGACCGGGAGTTCCTGGCCCCCACTCTGGCTTATGGAGGAAAGAATCACTCGGATGCTCTGGGGTAATAATGGTAAGGTAAGATCAGCTGGCCAGTTGGGTCACTTGCCGGCCATCGATAGGGAAGTGCACTGGAGATTACGTAGACTCGGGAACGAAGTACAGGCTTAACCTTTCGCGCCCGCCTCGACAAACTGAGCCGCACACTGTTCAAAGATAGCCCTAAGAAGACGGGGGTAAGGGAGCCTACCAAGGAGCACCGCGAAAATGGAAAGTATATATTTCTCGAGTCGAAACTGAGAGGAAGGTGTATGTAAGAATACGACTTGGATCCAGAGTAGGTAGGTTAGAGCTCAATTCAACGGGTTGGGTGGGGGTTAAGAGCGGCAGTCATGGGCGTCGGGGTGCTTTGAACAAGGAGAGGGCAAGAAATGTTCTTACCAGTTGAAGAGGACTGTTGACCTACGTTTCGAAGCGGCCTTCCTTGATGACTGCCGTCTAATACCTGTTGTTTACTTGATTTTCAGAGATATAAATGAAACCTCTTGACTAGCTATGTTTGCAGACTTTACAAAAACAATAATCTCGACTATCTCGCAGTAATCACGCAAAGTGCAGCACTAAGACAAATCATATCCGCGAGTACCCTCTGCTTATTTATCTTCAGATGAATATCCTCTTACCTTCTCCCATCTCAGCATGGTTCGCTGACCTTGTGAACAATACCTAATTAGGCCCACCAGGTGATGATGATGATAGCGTTTATTTCCGCAACCATTATATCAAGGGCGTGTGGCGCAATTGGTAGCGCGTTCGCTTTGCAATAGCATATTCATGCGAAAGGTCTTGGGTTCGATTCCCAACTCGTCCATTTTTAGGATTTTGCTAGCCTGCAAACTGCTAATGTTTTTAGCACAACCTTTTGTTTGCTCTGGATTCAGATGACACAAACAACCTCAGCAAGTTCTCTGTATTAGTGAGCCACCTCTCTATTTTTTGTAGTGATCAAGCTATTTTGTCCCATCCTCTCCCGACATAGGAAAGATGATTCAAACAAGATCAATAAAGCCTTCTCTCCCTCTCGCTCCATTTCAGATCTCTACAAATGCCGTGTCATCCCCTGCCGCAACTAGATTTCAGGCAATAGCACACGATCTCGAAATGGCTGATAACACCGGTAAATTCCTACCCTGCGGTATTCACCCCGTTGTCGGCCCGTTTGTTGTAGAATCAACCCAACGAAAAAGTTGCAGCCTTGTTCAAGCATTTCAGGATAATATCCATGAGCAGGTAATGGGTCAGGCCATTCGGCCTCTTTGAGCTCCAAGAGAAATATGGGATCTGATGGTGGGATTTCCTTAGTCCATTCAACGTCCAAACCACAGCCTAAGATGCATGACGGGTTATGATCGAGTCTATTTATCATTGCCCAATGATTTTTCTCCAGTACCTCGTTTTGATTGTGTGAGTCGGACAACAACGATTCAATGGCCTCAATCTCAGGTTCACGTTCAGATTCCCTGACGAGTTTCAAGCCGATGCCGTGGTGTCCTGCCTTCGCCGTTGGTGCCGCATAATCACCAACCACAAAGTAGCCTTGACAAGCAAATACAGATTCGCAGCGTAGCCGCACATTGATATTGGTTGACGGCTCCTGAACATCTTCATAGCCAGGGGGTTGACAGTGATATCATGAAGTTCGGCGCAAGATACGGTGTTGAAACTGTCCAAAATATCAGTGGACCAGTCATCCAATCCGCCCGTCGACCGATCGACATATGTTAAATACTGATAAGTTAAAGGTGCTGAAAGAGACGCCTAGGACCATCTTGGTGCTGTGGGTGGATTGATTCGTCCTTGACACCTCGACTTGGGGTGCTGGTTCGGTGGTTCTGTTTCAGGGTTCATTCTCGCAAGCTCCAAAATACGTCTTTAATGAAATTCTCTTTCCACAAACCGGCAAGGAATTGATCATTTGTAGTACTGACGATATGTTTCGCTAGCCCGGAGATAGCGATGAGTCGATCCTTGTCGAAACTTAGGCTTGCCTGAGAAACCTCTGACGCTGGGCCCTGATCGCATTCCCAGTACACTCCGTCATTCGTAAAATGCAGAGTACGACTAGATAGGTATCTTTCTTGGACAACCCATGCTGTTCCAGCAAGCTTGTTTCTAATGTGCCATCTGTGTTGTCCGAATTTCTCAACTCGACAAATGTTTAGAAGATGGCGCCCATCGCTTGACATTGTTTGACAGCGCCAGCGTGGGGAGCGCTCGAAAACCTCTGCCATGAGCGCCGACTCTCGGGTCCAGTCAGATGTGCTATCTTGGAAAATACACAATGAATCGACCCAAAGATATTCAATCCCAAAGTAATGGGTGATTTCTATGGCATGCCGATATGTCTTTGACAAGGCTTCTGGCGGAGCCTGCTGGCGGAAGCTGTCGAATGTATCGGTAGTCAGGGCGAGGACTCTCAGGTCGCCCCAGTAATGACTATGCGTTGCATATCTAGCATTTGGGCGGCCCTCGTCCATCAAACGCAAACGCACCGAATCGCGGAAAACTTCGGCCACTCATATAGGCAAAAAGGGTGTTGCTGAACGAGGTTCTCCGCAAGTGTGTGACCTGTGGCATGTTTCAAGCCAAAATTTACTCAAGTGTAAGCGTCTCTAGTGCTTGGCGAACAGATTCGGGAGTCATATTCTGGCGCTACATATTAAAATCAGTCACGGCTACTTTCCAGAGCCCAAGGTTTATCATACCTCGATAGTCTGTCAACATGGCTTTAACTGTGCACTGAATATATCTTGTGAAATTAACATCTTCCATCGGGTGGTGGTCTTGTGCGCCGGTGCGAGTGGGTGTATCCATCATTGAATCGCGGGTTTCTTCGACGCTATGTTGTTTTGCCAACTCAACGTCGCCAGATGTGTAAGGAATCTCAAGAGTAAGAACTACTTCACTGCCTCCAGTCGACAGTAACTACCACCCAAGGACGCGCTCAGGAATCGTGCCAGGTACATATGATGTGTGGCTCTCAAGGCCATGCCTTGAGAACTGAAAACAGATGTCGCACCCTGCAGCAGATGAGGCCAGAAGCTCCGAAAATGTGTTGTAGTGAGAGCCTCTACGTTTAACAAACTGCCCCCGGGGGGGAATTTTGAGGGTCGGGATCGAAACAGCGGCCACACTCGTCCACCATAAACTTGCACTTCTCGCAAACCGTCGCTAGAGGTCTATACCATGGCGGGTCAATTGTATGTGCAGGCGTGGAATCTGAATTCGATAGAGTGGGAACCGGCGGTGTTCGTAGAATCGGTAGACTTGTCCGCGCTCATCGTCCTGAAAATAGTCAAGTTCGTCGTTGCCGGGGGGGAGGGGCGTAGCACACTGCGATGATTTCGAATCGTCTGCAGTTTGATACCCAACGCTCAAGGCAAGTTGAGGACAGTGCAGTGTTAAGAAGAAAGACTCCCTCCCCAAATTATTCGACACAGGACTGCGACACAAATCACATGCTGAAGCAGGGTTTTGGAACCTTTCGTAACTCAAAAACGAACCATATTATTGCTCTCATCAAACACAGGGTGGGGACTCATGTTGTCATCTTCCACAAGTGAAACCGTCACTCATCAAAATCACATCACCAATCTCAAATCAAAAGCCATCGAAATATAAGCCGGCAAAGACATCAGATTCAAAAAACAAATGAAAAACTGCAAAACCCGCTAGCTAAACTAGATACATCGCTTCGCTTCGCTCAAAAGCCAAAAAAGACCGTACATGTTTCCACCCCTCTCTTCCCTTGCCAGGCCTGAAAAGCGAGAGAAAGAGTGAGATGAAAAACAGAAAGTATTTCATACAACCCAGCACCAGCAACCCTTCCAGGTTTGCCATCCCGAAGACAGTCCTCCAGAACCCATTGCTGTTGTTGCCTTCAGGCGTCCAAATCTGACTGCAGCAGATTATACCATGACCGCATTTACAAGATGCCGCAGGTGAGGACGTTGAGGGTGATGGAGCCCTGATGAGTAATTATTAGTGATTTATATGTTAAGAGAGTTCCAGGGAGGAATCTTACAGAGGCAGGAGCGTCAACGTTGCAGCACTTGACAACACCGGAGCAGGTACCGCCAATGACGCCGAGGACGCAGCTAAGGAAGCCGATCGGGATGCCGAGGATGGGGGCGGGGTTGCAGCAGAAGGGCTTCTCGTTGTTGACGGAGCACTGGTTGACGGGGGTGCCACTGCCGTCACCGCCGCCAGTGCGGGCAACGACAACATTATTGTTGGCGACGTCAGCTGCGGGGAGAGCAGCGGCGGTCATGGCGACGGTGAGGATGGTGATGAGGCTGGAGAACTGCATTTTGGCGGTGGAAGAGTTGGTTGTTTTGAAAAGCAAGAAAGTGTTCGGTTGTTTGGAAGGCTGAGTTGGAACTGCTGGAGTAACTGTTGATGTTGATGATGAGAGAAGTTTAATGTCTGATGAAGGGAGAAGAAGGGAGTTTATATAGACATTTAGAGAGTACGCTTTCAGTCATATCAGCCATGAAAGTCATCCTTATTCAAAAGTGTGCCTCTCATCCAACCCGTCATCCCGGCTTTCTGCTTGCATTCGGATGTCTTCCTTGATTGTGATTGCGGGCTTCACCTAGATCAACATTGCATTTTCCTATCTTGAATCTGCAAAATAGCCTCAAGAGTGCTATACCTTGTCGTGTGGTGAAACCAAGGAGGCGAAGAGTTGGAGTACTGCTTGGCAAACCTTCAGGAAGCAAAGTGTCACGACATCTACAACGCCTACAAGAGCCCCAAGCCTGCTGCGACCCTACGACAACCAGTCAATGCTACGATGTCCCGTTTCCATGCATGATGACGATCATTGACAGGTTCAGCTAGCCAAACCCGTAATATCATGATGTAGAACGTGAAGCCGGAGCATACGTCAGTATGTCCGGCGCTTTCTGCTCGAGCTAACTGTCAACAAGAGAAACTCAAAGCTATGCATCATACTGCATCTACCAACATATCTCTCCCATTGTCAGTGATAATGTGGCGCGTATGAAAACTCGGTCCGAACGCCAGCGCTGTAAGGGAAATGAGGCCAAGGTGGTTTGGCCGAACATCGGAAGGAGTGAGCAATGAAAGCCATTGGACTGTACTACTTCTAGTTCTTCATGTACCTACCTAGGAGCAGCCTCGTGAATAACTGTCGAGGCACTTGTGTAATCCGATCTCTGCTATGTGAAGAAGATCCGTACAGCTACAGGCTAAAGGTGATTGGACGAACATTAGAGACACAAAGGGGAGATGGTGTCGTGGCAAAAGGGGTCGAAAATGCGGCCAAGGAGGTTCACGATCATGTACTAGTGTCATGTTGTGTAGCATGAAGCAACATGATCTGATCTTGACGGTGAGCTATTGGCAGCAGAAGGTGGTGTCGAGGAGACGGCAGGCAACGGCAACTCCCCGAGGGGATGCAGGAGCATTGGAGTGGACCGACCAACCACAGGCACAGCTACGAAAAGCTTTCCATGGTCAGCCCATCCGCAACTTGGTCGGCTGCCAATAGAACCACACCCCAGCACACCGGAAAATGCGGGGGACAAGGAGTGCTGCATCGTGCGGACTATTTTGAGAGTGATGTGTTGACTGTAAAACAAATCTCCATGCCACCTAACTGAGACAGTTGTGCACCGTTTTCTGTCTTTCGAAATGCATCACCTGCATCCAAAGTACTGGCTGGTCCCCTAAATCAAGGTTGAACGGCCAAGTTGTTGCGGGAAGTCGGTCATTTGTTCACAATAATCAAAGCAGTGCTCCTCAGCTCTCCACAAAATCAGCTTGTTTCTGTTGAGCTTCTCCCTTGCTTGGAGGACTCAGCTACGCCCGGCCCGGAGCGCTTGCCCCGAGAAAGGTCTGTGGTGATGTCATCAGGTGGACTTGCCGGCCCAGAGAAAAGTCAATGAAGTGCACGACAGAAGTCCCTGCCTAGGCCAGATGGTTGGGTCGAAGCAACGAAACCAGAAATGCAAAACCAAGGCTCCTGTTCCGATGGTGTACTACCCGACATCATACCGAGTTGCCGCCTGAAACCATTAAGTGTCATATTTCGAGACTGTCAGTAATAACCTAGCAAGAACAGAAAACAGCGGGTGGGCGTTTCTCTATGACGCTTTCAGTATCACAGCGGCTGAACAAACTGACAGCTCAGATCATGAGAACATGGACTACACGAGACCACCCAAAGCACTTTGTTCACCGCCACTACTTTCCAACGGAGTACGACGGCTTTGGAGGCTTGCTTCAGAGCTGAAAACTCAGAAATGACAACACACATTCAACCACGGCTCGAATCCTATTGACTGGCCTTGACCAAGCCCGAGCGTTTGCATTACCCGGGCCATTGCAACATCGGCAACCGAAAAGTTGTCATTGCTCGCTGTCATGCAACACAGCTGTTCATTTTCCGCAGATTGCGCCTCACAATAACAGGATGTTGGCAGATGCTGCAGTCTGCAGCAGCCGCCTTGTTGCTTCTCTTAATCATCCTCCTTGCTAGCCAACTTTTTCTATTCTCTGACCGTGCCGATCCTTTCTCTATCCAGCATGATCAACACTCATACACGCTCGTCTTCCCCTTGCTCCAGCCTTAAGCTTATCTCAACCTTCACTACCTTGCAGAAAAGGCCAAGCCGGACAATAAGCGGGAAGGATTTGACTGCGAGAAGCGGACTGGGAGTCGCGGGTAGTTCCGTTTTGGCTGACGTTGATGTTGTGGATATCCAATCATGACAATTGGCAGGTTTGGCTTCCAGCTCTTTCGACTAACCGTCAGGCCACACCTTCATGATGTCTACTGACGCAAAGGTGCCCCAATGCAGCCAGCCCCGAGACCGCTCACCACATGATGCCAACTGTCGTTCGGTCTCCCGTCCTTCTCACGCCTCGCTTACTACTACTGTCCATGACGGACCGACAGTCGAAAATACTCCGGGCAGATCGACAAGCTGCAGCTTGATCCTCTCTCGAATCTCGATATGGTAACCACCCATGATACGGAACGCGTCCCAACGTTTGATTTCTGCGGGCACCCACACCTGGTTAGAGATGATGTCTGAGACCTTGGAACTTCGCAGGTGGAACAGTTGATCATTAACATTCTTGGGATAGCTGCTGTCGAAGTTCTGGCTCAACGATACAGCAAGGAACTCAACACACTTGGACTGGGGCTCTGTCAAGGTTAATGGCAGCAACAAATTTGAAGGAAGCATTGAGGCGTTCCGGCATTTACACCAGGGTTATCCGAGGCCTGCTCCGATCATGATGAAGTCAAATTCTGGGGGTCAACCGGATACCCCCCTCAAGACTAGTTTTTGGGTTGTGGCAATGTTCTCCTGGCTCTCTCTAAATGCATCAACCATCAGAGAGACAGGTGGGTTCCCATGGAAAAGCCTATGTTAGGGACTTAGGATTGTTGATATGGACACATGATCACGAATCTCAGCAGCCACGAAGCTCTCGATCATGGAGCAGAGGATACTCACAGGTGACAGGCTGTTCATGTATCAGACATTGACGCCAGCTATTGTGTCTTGAATCTCAGCCGGATTAGATCCATGCTCTCGATGACTGCATCTTCAAGACACATTCATCTAGAGCTGCGCATTTCGAGTCCTCAACTTGTCAATTGTTGGAAGACTTGAGGTAGGTGGAGCCAAGTCACGATTCAAGCTTGTGGAGCGAAGGAGGCTTCAACACGACAAAAGGTAAGCATATCCTTGGGACTACTTGTGCACTCTCACCATAGCATTTTTCTAACATCACAGCATAGGTCAAGGTTCTATAGTGTAGCGGTTAGCACTTCGGATTCTGAGTATCAGAGCCATTCCGGCAACCCCGGTTCGAGTCCGGGTAGGACCTCAGCAGCAACATTTTCTTTTACCAATTATGCCTTAAACGGTGGGCACTGATTCTTTTTCTCTCCTCCACAAGCCACAGAGAGAAAACCGCAAATCCTCTCAGCCCTAAAAGCCGTTGGCTCCACCTCCTTTCGTTCAACCCCTGAACCTTGCTTTTTAAGCTTCGCACACAAGGACCACCCACGAGAAGCTCAGATACATGCTTCAAAAGTAAAACTTCCGCCCAGCAGATCTCAACGTATACGGCTCAGGCGATGCATGTCGCCCGGCTAGCTCAATCGGTAGAGCGTGAGACTCTTAAGGAGTTCCTCCGTCAAATCTCAAGGTTGTGGGTTCGACCCCCACGTCGGGCTCAATTCCCGGCATCGAATGTGCCATATTTTTGCTCATTTCGTCTTTTTCTTTATTTGTACAGCATGTTTGGCAATTGGCAGTCAGATCTCTGGATCTACAGGAGAATGATACCCACATGGAGGTTGACAAGTGTTTCTCCACACCTTATTTGACTAGGATTGATATTGCTTGTTGCTGAGAGAGCAGGCCCGAGATTGTATCTATTGCATATGTCACACCTTGGAAACCCCCAATATATTTCCTGTTGCTGCGGACGTTTGTGGTGCCCGGTCTCGGTAAGCCGATATTTGGTCTGGTATGACTCGAGATAACTTAGGCTGTCTAGTATTCTTCATGATGTATGCCAATCTGGGATCTCAGGGTCCAGGGGTCTTCTCAGGTAACATTGGAGGCTGGTGGAGGTTGCACTGCACCAGATATGTCTCGGCTGTTGGCAGTTTTGATCGTATACCGTGTATTGTGTTGTCCATTCGGTGAGATGTGGGCGTTTTCCCATTGGTGTCAGGTGTCACGGAGGCTTCTGTTATGAAACATTGATGCTCAATATTTCGGGAGGGGCTTCGACCCTGGACTGTGAATGTCTTCTGGCACATGGAAAAAGAGAGATGGTTAGCCATATCCCCATGGGTGAATTGAACAATATATGTGTGACATTGAGAGATGTGCTAGTGCAATTGAGGTGCTAGGTGATTGATGGTTGAGTTGACCGTGACTGAATCCAAGTCATATATATAGATGAATTTTCATGATGAACTCTGCAGCATGAAGAATGCAAAGAAATGTGAGCTCTGTTAAGGGCTTTTATCACTGTGCTGGGATCAGTTTGGGCTTGCGTTCAGGGATGAAAACTTTGAGAGCTTCCGACAAATAAACATAAAAGTTAACCTGCGGGCCAGGCCGGTGGTGATTCACAATAGCCATAGGACTCATCAGTTGTTGAGAGATAGCCGTTTACGCCATCTGCTCGTGTTTTTTCCAGTTGAGCACACTCAGACGACCATGTTTCAGTTGCGCGTTCATTTAGTCACACCGAAAGGTTACCACAACCACATAAAAGTTAAGAAACTCCACAAAATTTGTTGACAGCTATCATGAAAAGCCTCAAATCCACTCATGATCTCAACCGGTAAACCCAAGCCCGCATGGCTCAGTGGTAGAGCGCATCACTAGTAATGATGAGGTCGTCAGTTCGATTCTGGCTGTGGGCATTCAAATCTATCTTTTGCGGTTTCATTTCGCTATTTTTGCCTCCCGTAGCATTGTTTCCCCATTTCCTTGCAAATCCCAATTCCCAAAACATCAGGCCACATTTTGTTTTCCCGCCCCAGTTGAGCGCTTGTCGCGGGGCGCACAGTTGACCCAAATCTGCGGGACCCCCCCCCGATTGATAAGTGTGGCTTGCCAAGGATCCACTAATTCTGGCCCGAATTGGCATCGCTGGCGCGGGGAGCTTCGACCTCTCTGAATGTGGATATCCACCCACCTCATCTGCACCTCACAACCCAACCACAACTCCACAGTGGCTCCTTTTTTTTCTGGAGTGGTTTTTGGGGCTGGTCCTTTTTTGAATCTGTGCTGGTTCCATTTCGCTTTGGCAAAGAGCCAAATAAGAAGTCAGATGAGTGGCGCATCGACGGGCACCACCAGGGACCACCGCAATAACTAAGCAGAGAGCGGCGCTAAAAACTGCAGGTGTTTGAACGTCTCTCCTCTCTTCCATTTTCATCACTCTCATACGATCACCTCAGCTATCAACACCTCTTTCTTCAAAGTGCAGGAGATACCTCGTCATCATCAGCCAGAATACGATAAAAGAGAGCAGCAAAATGTCGTCACCAACATCCGGCAACAGCCCGGTGAGAAGCGGGATGGAGACCCCGCCTACGCCTCACCCCATCTCGGATGAGGTCCTGCGCGCCGTTTACGCGTCAGATATGGAAATGTACCCCGCGGGGCTGTCGTACGACAGACTCTGCAGCTGGGTGGCGGCCTGTCCCGAAATGTCGATATGCTGGTCATCACCCAAGACGGGAATACTCGGCGTGGTTATTGTCTTGCCCATGTTGAGGGAATACTGGGAAGACTTGCTGGTGGGAAAACTGAAGGAGCCTACTGTCGACGCGCATACCATGTTTCCTCACGACAACAAGAGGGAGCAAAAACCACAGGCGGAACATGTTGAGGTGGCAGGGGCCAGGCAGATCGGCAACGGCAAGGCACCAAATGGAAGGATATCTGCCGTGCAGGAGAACGAGGAGCAACAAGAGGTTGGACTGCATGTTTATCATATCGAGCGGTTAGCTGTCGAGCCACCTACTTCGAAGCAGAGGAGGTTTTCAGAGATTGCTATGGAGGAGGTTACGAGACGGGCGGCGGAGAAGAAGGGGTGGAAGGTTGTTGGGTTGTCTGGTATGTCTTGCTTTTACCCTCACCTCATATGGCGGATGGTAATACTGACGTAACAAACAGCTCTCGTCGCGACAGATGGTGGGAAAAGGACGTTTCAGCGCATGGGCTTCAAGAACACCGGCTACAGAGAGCTGTTTGTCACCAAGGTAATACGCAGGCCTTCGTATGCCGCCATTGGCATCGGGAACAGTCCCAGCATCCCCGAGGACGCTGTTGACGAGCCCGAGGAGCTGGACATGCTCTACATCTACCCTGAAGATGGAGCGGGGGGCAAGAGCGTCAGTGAGATTATTGGATATGGCCGGACAGTGGTTGCCATGTCTGAGATGACTGTCAAGCGCGTCAGTCAGGAGGAAGGGGAGCTACCAAGTCTGTTAATGTCAAGTAATGGGAATGGCTGTGCATTGGAATTATCGAGCTCGATTTGAGCAGTTGGATAATGAACAGCAATCAATGCACAGCCGGGGAGCAAATAAACGAAGCAACATCTCTACTCCACTTGCTTGTACCATTTCAATTCTGGTCTATCCAACCGGAGTCAGCTCCGTGGAGATACTGCTGATGACCCAGGAAGATCCAAGCTCGGGGACGTCTACTGTGCGGGGATAAGAGACATTGCTGTCTCGGTTCACGACTGCCGGTATCACTGCGTCTACGGCCCGTCTGCATACAACCCTGCGATCTGGTGTCTATGGCACCCTAAAGGGGGGGAAAATGCGGAGGTGGAAAGACAATGTTGATTGCTTTCAGCCCAAGCAGGGCGACATCGAGGGACTGCAGCGCGGGTATGTTGGACGGACAGAGCCGGAATCCAGACCTGATGACGCGGCAACTGCCGTGGATCAATGGGCCAGCCATGGCCTCGAGGAAAGACTCCAGCTGGATAATGTTGCGATCGGTGGTTTCGATGTTGTGATCGAGAGACAGGATCAACAATGTTGCTGCCCAGTTACACGAAACAGTCTCCCATTGGGCGTTTGTGTGAGTCGTTGTTGTCATGGATTGATGGGTTTGACGCTGGTCTATCTATCGGAGGTCATGGAAGAAGAGTTGTCGAATGGGGGGGATGGTAGGGGCAGACTCAAGTATAAAGAGGCGGTCTCTTGCCCTCGAGAGAGGTCAAGCTTTTCATCAGCATCAACCAACCTCTCGAGCAAACAATAAACCATAAGAATCATCCCAACCATCAAAATGAAGTTCACCGCCACCACCGCCCTTCTCACCCTCCTCACAACCGCCACCGCCCTCCCCTGGTCCTTCAAGAGTGCCGGCAATGGCAAGCACTCTGATGAGATCACGTACGTCTCCCTCCCCCTCACCCTCTATCACCCTTTTCTGACATCGGGTAATAGCCTCCACCTCACCCTCGACAAAGGAACCACCACCGCCCACCACCGCCCCCCCAAGTCAAAGTCGGAAGAGATGAAGATCATCATGGGCATGTCCGATGTCTGCCTCCGCGTCTGCTGGCCCGAATCGCCCAAGTGCCCAGAGGAATGGGTAAGCATCATTCATCATCGGAAGCAAGCGCATGGAGTAATTGCTGATGGCCTGTGTCATTTTAGTCACCCAAGAACATGGGCAGCGACGAGGATCCGTGCTGGACTTGCTGCAGGAAGATGGAGCATGATCTTTGAGCACGAGACATTTCTCAGTGGCAAGGGGGTCGCTGGGTTTTGGGGTATTTGGTAGCTGTTGAAGGGACATGTCGGAAGTTGGATTACATACACTCCTTTGGTGAAGATAGCTTACCTTTCCTAGGGCTTCATGTTAACGAAGGTTGAACGGTTAATGCCTGGGATGACAGATAAGAAAAAGGTGACTAGAAAATAGATACACTGTTTCTGCAACTTTGGTGGCATCTTGAGGTGAAATCTTGGATATGCATGGCATGTTCATGACCCTCGGCTCTGCTTCCGTTCGATAGCTAACAGTAGGCAGGTTAACCACATCGGTGGAGAGTTGATATCAAATACGAGGCATTAAAGGATCACGGCTAGGCATCTCGACTATCTCAACATATTATCCACTATATTTCAATGGCCCTTTTTACATAGCAGTTGTGATTTGTTTGTTGCTGACAGGATACGCGTTGGACGCGCTAGGTAAACTCGACAACTCCCACCACAGGTAAGCTCTGAAGATAGTCATCAGAGACAAGAAAAAAGAGAAAATGGGTAACGATAAACTGTTGTAGTGAGAAAGAAAGCAGCAGGCACAGTTAAAAATGACAAAAGAGATGCCCAATAACAGGATTGAACTGTTGACCTTCGCATTACCATATGCTGGTTTCCCAGTATTAGTACGACGCTCTAACCAGCTGAGCTAATCGGGCTGAGTGGAGATTGATGGTTTTCTACAGGGATGTAGCTCTCATTAACAAGTTGGGCCTTTTTCCTGGAGGGTCTCGAATGCAAGTTGGACACTAGGAACAGTCCTGCGTATGCTGTCTATTCATACAAATTACAACTCCCTTCTGGAAAACGAAACATTAGTGTAGTTTGGGGAGGTTCGGGGTTGTGATATACTCCAACATTAGTATATGGCGTTGCGGTGTTCAGACTTCAGGGGCTCAGTAAACAGGTCCATGGGCATACAAATACTTTCGACAGATCTCATGCAGGTCGTACTATGAAAGGAGCTTGGTTGTCTATTTGCGTTTTGTGTGAGGTAGTCTATACAAATCACGGTAAACTCCCGGCCGGTTGTACATGAAAAAGTATCAGCTGCTGTTTCCTTTTGGAAGGATTCTTCAGCGCGCCTCCTCGTGTGGTTCACCCGGATTGATGGTGAATATCCTATCTACGCTGTTCGCCCCTCTGCATCCCTCCTCAAAATCTCATTCAACCCCTCCCTTTTCACACAGTTCTCCAACTTGAAACTCCCCGCCAGCTCATCTAGCTCCTCCAACGTCTTGCCCTCAAAGTAACTCGCATACTCCCAGCACAAAATCTCACTCATGAGAGTCTCCCTCAACACTCGGTGAATATGCCCTTCTATCTTCCAGACTTGTGGGTATCTCTTGTTGATATGCTCGGGAAGAATTGCCTCCTTGAAGTGAGCGATGACGGGCTCGTAGATGTGCTTTACGGCAGAGTCGTCGCGGCCCCTATTCCGGAAGTGTTAGAAGAGAAGTGTCAGAGTATCATGTGAGGCTTACCATTTATCAACACCCAAACGCTTCTTCTTCTCCAGAAAAGGCTTCAGCAGCTTGATGTAAGCCGAGTCTGGCGAAGCGTGGACCATGCCTTGAAATCCAATGTCTTTGTACAGCCAAATGCTCCAGCTGATCTCATCTTTCTTGTAGATTTTCAGCTGCTGGCCTAGCAGGTCGTAACGTTGCTGATTGACTTTCTCATAGTTCTCGTCTCCCGGGCTCGCATAGACGGGACCAAACTCGCCGTTCCAAATCTGGCATCGTTAGCACCAAGTCAAAGTCGAACACCTATGCCATGGAAGCCAGACCCACCGGGACACCTTTCTCTTTCATGAACTGCACCTTCCTCCCGTATGTCTTCTGCAGGGACTCCTTCTGCTCGGGGCTTCCAACATAGGGCTCGCCTGCTGGGAAGCCAAAGCTGGCGTAGTCGTGTATGGCGTACACGCAGTTGGGGAGGACTTCCTTGAACCCGGTGAAATCCATGGCGTAGGTGTTGCCGTCCAGAAACAGGATGTGATCTGGGTCAACCTCGCGAATAGCCTTTTCGGCTCGCTTGTACCAGGCTTGAAGTGCAGTGTGGTCAGGGTCGGCGGGTTCGTTCATGGGGTTGTAGCCAGCGACCTGTTCAGTTGAACGTCAGCAGGGAAGCCAACTGGCAAAGGGGGCTTCACTAACCCAGGTGTTATTTTTGTAATGCTTCGCAATCTCGACCCAGAGATCCGTCATGCTGTCCTGGAAGACTTTGAAGTCCCAAAACAAAGCTTTGTGAATACCCGCATCAGAGTGCCAGCCTTGATTTTGGCCTCCAGGGAAGGTGTGCATGTCGATGATGGTATATAAGCCCTCCGCTGCACAGGCGTCGACAATGCGATCAATGAGCTTGAAGCCTTCCTGCTTGATGATGCCCGGGTTGTGGTCGTCAAGGAAGTGGTGGTAGTTGATGGGGATGCGGATGCAGTTTAGACCAAGGGAGGCAAGAAAGCGGGCATCGGAGGGAGTGAAGAAGTATTCGAGGAACTTCACGGGTGTTAGACCATGATCAGTAGTGGAAGAAGGGGCAACAGAGCAGACCTTGTCGAAGAAGAAGTCATATTTCTCCTGACCGAGAACCTCGAGCATTGCCTTCCTCATCTCATTCTCATGACCAGGGTAGCCAGTGATGAAGTTCTCCATGTTGGTGTGACCGCCAGTGGCACACTGTTAATAGTCAGTGGTATTTCCCAGCATACTCTAGAATAATTGACACTGACACCTTTGAGAATTACCTGCTTTCCATCAGCATCAACGATGTCAGTCCCCTCCACACGGAGGCATCTCATTGGTGTTTTTGGCGCCATCTTTCCTTCAGTGCCCAAAGAGCAATGTGTGAAGGGGGATGGAATCGAGACAACAGTTGAACGGTCATGACAACGTTGATGTACTCGCATGGCATGGCTGACCATTGGAGCGCATGCACCTGTTCGTCATGTGGGCACCGCCGGAGGGGTTCGGGCATCAATACACCGCGCCCCGGATGCCCCACACCGATCCCGGATGTCGAACTCCGGACTGTATCCACAGAAAGAAGGACTAAATAGTTTAACCGGAGGGCAAACCCAGTAGACTGCATTGGATGTGATGTTTGCGATCTCAAAGAGCTTGGTTCGCAGAGGAGGTCTTGGTAATTGGTGGCTTCTTCTTCCTTTCACGACCGTCGACGTTAGTGCAAGTGCAACTGTCCTGGGTAAACGGGGCGCGGCCGAAGCATACTCATTAAGTGTCGGTCGCAGTTTGCTCAAGATATGCTTGACATCCTCGTTCTGGTAAATTGTACAATGAAGAGCCTGAAGATAGATTCATGATCCCATTTCTGTTTCGTGAATTAGGTGCTGCAATTGGTCGAGAAGACGTCGTTGAGAGAGGGTGGGTTAAGAAGGAAGAAGAGCCGCCATGTGACTAGAAGCGGACATGGTGCCTTTTAGTTGTATACCTAGGTAGAGATAGGTACCATTTTGCCAGTGGTTGGCACAATGAACAGGAGCTGCCAACTGACGCTTCTATCAATCTAGAGTGGATCAAACTTGCTAAGTGGGGTGCCTCCAAATCCCGTTTATTACTTGTCAGACCTACAGAATCGGCTTACAACAAGATGTGGGACATCTCACATGGGGTTGTCAATGTCCATATCCCAAATCTCGTTGCGAGTCGGTTCTGTAGGCCCAACAACTAGGTAGGGTACGGAAACAAGATGAAGAAGCTGAAGAATGATTTGTATACTTCCCCAATTATTCCCGATGGTGTTTTCTCTTCCACGCCTCAACGGCGTCAACTACAATCTGCGCCACAGATAGCACTCTTTCCTCACCCAGTCGGCGTCCAAACAGCTGAATGGCAGCCGGGATGCCATCGAAGAGTTCGGGATCGTCTGTCTGACTGTCAGCGTACTGTCCATTCGTTTGATGATTGTTATATTTACATGAAGCCATGTTTCGCCGATCCTTGTCGGTAAGGGGTTGGAAGTTTGGGTCCAGGGTGTCCAGGTTCTTATCCGCAACTGTAATCGGTATCACGGCGATGCAAAAGTTGAGCACGTTGAGAGCGCTTGTGTACGCCGAATGAATGAACTTTCCAGGTGGAATGGCGCTATGTGGACTGGCCGGAGCAATGACAACGTCAACAGGCCGACCTGATGAGGTTAGCATGTTCTGGAAGTGCCAGGTGTCTCACGCGGAAATCATTACCAGAACTTGTTTTGCCTGCGGAAGACTGCCAGTAATCGTTGTATTTCCAGCGGTAGTCCTTCATTTTGAGCACCACCTGCTCATACTCTGGGAGTGGAATAGGAGGTCTGCGCTTGCCGCCGGGGAACACGTTCACGATTTCGGGGAAGATAGGCTCCCCGGACTGTTGAATTGCTTCCCAAACGTCAGGACAGCCGTCACTCCGTGCAATCGGACCCTAGGAAAGTGTTTGGTCAACTCCCTTCGACATAATGAAGCAAGTTACTCGCATGTATCCTCAGAAGTGTAATTGTTCGAAGGAAGCACCTAGTCCAGGAGCTCCGACGCGCACGCAAATGTCAGTACTTAAAAGTAACTCTAGAGCAGATTTCAGCATACCTCAAAATCTGCATTCGTCAAAGCCTGTTTCACGATCTCCAGGGCCCGGGCAACTGGTGGATGCGGAACTGCGATGCCGTCATTTGGCATGAACCCAAAAGTTGGTTTACAGTCCGATTCGTCGTCGTTTTCGTACTCATTGCCCGCTCGCCATGGAATAGGGTGTGTGTATGGATCACGGGTCCAAGGCTCTGTTGACAAGAGAGATATGAATTGGAAAGGAAACAGAGTTACATGCAGTATGCATAAGAGCGGGCCTTATTGTTCGTGTTCACTTGGAATCGAGCATCTGTCACCGAGAATAAACAGCACGCGCCGCTCGCTAAACTTGTGATCGTTATTGGGTGAGCTAAAGCGATGAAAGTCTAGGTCTGCGTAATGACCAAAACCTCTCTCGTAGCAATCAAAATGGGGTGCAGATTCTCTACTCTGCCGGTGTAAGGAAAGATTTCCACATTAAGACACCATTGAGATTCAATGTGGCGGATCGACGGACCTTGTAATCTAGCCTCATATTAATCTGGGTAAGTGATTCCCCGATCATATAATGAAAATGGTTGTGCATTGTTCACTGCAATCTTCGAAATTCGCGAAGGCGAGGCAGATTCACACCAAGTGATGGAACACAGGGCAAGTCAAGGATACAATGCGTAAATATGACTCTGAAATCAGAGGAGAACAAAAAATTATGCTTTAGTTTAATGTACAAGCCAAACTGCTGATCAGCGAGGACGTATCGTCTACTAGTTCTTGCCCCCTATTCAACCCCTGAGATCGCCCCACTTGTTCACACGGCAACGAGACGACCCCTGTTCGACACTCAACGATGTGCTTCGATAGAGAACATCCACCACACTAGAGGGCAATTGAAATGTACGATACTTGTTTGCCGATGGAGTAGATGTTGATGATTGGCCTCTGAGGTATTAGATCCAAAAGTGAGCAGGGTGAGGTGGTTAGTGAAAGCAAGAATAAATGGTGCACAATATTCAACCAGAAAGAAGTCCTCCACTGTCTCAATTTCCAAAGTCTCGCCATGCATCATCCCGTGACAATAAACCTCTCCTAGGTATTCGTATGTCTGCTTTGGCACACCATCATCACCCGTGTAATTGCTAACAGCCGTAGGTCTGAGCATGTACAGGACCGAGGTATCATGAAATGCCACTATGACATCTCCTGGCTGAGCTGCGACCGGTCCCATCCCCACATCTCGTTAATCCTCTGTCAGGAACGGGCTTTTATGGTCCATCTGTTCTAGTCGATCTATGCAAGGAAAGGGTCTACTAGCTGCGCTCTGACTTCCTCCTTCCGCATTCCCGCGCGCACTAGATCCGAGATGCCATTTTTTACGAATTCGCCTTTTTGCAGATGAGACAAAATCCTGGAAAGCGCTGGATGGACTAACAGTTTACCGCCGGCTTCAACTTCACACATGGCCTTCTCCAGGTATGCAAGCTCCAAAATCAGTTTGAGACGTGTCTGGTCCTCGGTCTGGGCCCGGGGGCTCTGTCGATATTTTACAGTGACGGTGTCTCCGAGCATAATCCGTAAAGAAGCGTCGCGGTCTTCGCACAAATACAGCTGGCAGAGTTGCCCCACTTCAATATAGTAGTCGAGATAGTGCTCCTGGCTCGATTGCCCCGAAGTACCATGGCTTGCCTACACGTCCAACCTGGCCAATTCGGATGCCTTGCAGGTCTAGAACTCTTTCGTTGTTCGACTTGATCAATTGTGTCGTTGCTTCTTTGCCTGTTGGGCTATAAACCCAGAATCTGGGGTGGTCATTGGTTGCTAAAGCGATGGTAGTGCGGTAGTGTGAGAAACCCGGGACCCAAGACGGCAGCCTTTTTGCCACCTCGTCTCCGACTCGGCCAACCATTCGTTTAGGAAATTGGGCCATTTCAAGTATAATTCCAAGATGTTCCATTTTCTCAATGATAGTGCGTGCGACTTGGGTGTAAAGGATATCGGCGGTCATACTTTCTGAGTAATCCGGAGCAATGGCATCTGGCGCGTCGGGAGCAAGAAGTCCGAACAATCCGTGGACTCTATCTCGAGGATCGCTTGATGTTATGTACGGCCAACTGTCAGCGTAAACCAACCAACCAGAATAAGCCCCATAAATTCTGGAAACCCGGAACATCCTTGCTCATGGCCTGTCCTCTTGGTTGAGGGGTAGGAGGATGTCCTCGCCAATACGAGTACCTTAATCCGATGAAAACAACAAGGGGTTTCTGTGCAGCGAGACTGGGAAGTTCGCAGTGTTCCATCACCTTCGATGAGCTGGTGATAGACATTCCACTCTCTATCATTGCAGCTTGCCGACGACAGCCAGCAACCACGCACCCAAGCTGCCTTCTCAACCTTTCCGCCATCCATAACCCCATTGAACAAGACTTGGCCTCAATCTTGTGGTCACCTGAAAGAAATAATGCTTCCCTCGCCAACACGAACTCCTGGAGTACCCAAATTCGACTGAACCATGGCTGGCTCTACCAAATGACAATATTCTTCTGTAATGCCATACCATCCTCCCAGTTCTGACCGAACAAAGCCCGAGCAGCTCTCGCAGCAAGAACCAAGACCCTTTCAGCTCCCTCCAGTTCCTCTTGGGTCTGTTTCTCGCGGAGATCGGTGTCAGGGTACAACATCACCATGGTCTCGAGAAACCTGAGCCACTCCTCCGCCGTGGGTTCCAAGCCATCACCGACTAAACCCCCGAATCTCTCCATTCCCCAGCTTTCTTCAGCTTCTGTATGAACTTGGCTTGCTCAGACCTGTCCTCGGATATTTCAGAGGGGAAAGGGCCAAGCCAGATCAGCACTTTGTCAGCCTTGGTATATATCTTCCCCATCATCGGCACTTGCTCATTCTTCTCCACCGTGTCCTGCTGTTGATATAGATCTGGTTGACCCAGAGGAGCAATGGCTCTGGTGATGACTCCCACTTGGTTATTTGCACCAACCCGCTCATAAGTGACGGGGTGATGTAGATCGCTGACAAGGGCGAATCAGGTACCAAGCCCCGAATCGTCCTCATCGTGCTGGTCAATGTAAAGGGGCTCGGTCGCGTCGCTGGTGCCCCAGGCATAGGACAAGACTGCAAATGGCGACAGTGCATCTATCGATGCCACTGACATGTTGCATTTGATTTGGGAGTTGGTGGACGCAAGATGTACCCTGGCCGAATGCAACGGCTGGGTATAGCTTGATCAGTCGGATGTGAGTGGATGCGTTTGGGAGTGGGATGTGGGTATAAGGATGGATCATCGCCTCCTCATGAATATGAGATTGTAGGTTGGCATCGTGAGTTGGCTCCATTGTGGGATGTCAGGGACTGTCATCGTGGCTTGGCCTGACGAGATGAAACTATCAGTGCGGAGCTTGGGGCTGGTCCAAGTTCTATCGACAAGTGTTGTCAGTCCGATCCGAACCACCGAGAAAGGGTGACCAATGAGCAACGTCGATAACAGCCTAGATTTCTTCCCTCGCCCCGCATTGGCTCGCTGCGCCTCACACCGCAAACCTTCACCTTTGACCTCAACAGCTATGGCTTCATTACCACCATACCAGTACCAACCGCTCGACCTCGATGCCGACTCGATCCGTCTCGTCCGACTATGCAAAGGATTGTCCAATGAGCAGATCCACTGCGAGCTTCTCGAGACCTACGTCCACGCCTCCAAAGGCGTCCCATACGAAGCACTCTCGTACACATGGGGAACCATAGATCGAGAGGAATCCATCATTATTGGCCGCAATTCAACCTTGCAGGTGACGGAGAACCTGTATACCGCCCTCGTGAACCTCAGACACCCACATACTGATAGGTTATTGTGGATTGATGCGATATGCATCGATCAAAACAATGACAAGGAACGGGGCCACCAGGTTGGTCAAATGAGGAGAATCTATCAGAATGCCGAGGAGGTCCTTGTGTGGCTGGGTCCCGGAAGAACTGCTGAAGCACAGTTGGCCATGAAGTTCCTGGAAGATGTCAATGAACAGGTTTCGGCAACTGACCAACTGTGGAGCTGGAAACTTCGTCGAGAAAATTGGAGGTCAGAATTGAATTGGCGGAAAAGGAAGTTTTTGGAGCGGCTTCCAGACACGGCATTGGCAGAGTACCGGGGAGCTTTGGAAGGCCTGCTTGCGAGTCCTTGGTTTAGACGCGTCTGGATCATTCAGGAGGTTGCCTGCTCAAAGAAGGCCAGAATTATGTGTGGCCGAAAGAGCATACCATCGAGGACGTTTGCTATTGCGCCAGAGTTTCTCGATTCCGCGGTTGATGATCATGTGCAGGCAATCCTTGATGTAATGCCGGGCTTCCGAAGATCTGAATCGTGGTGGAGTCACACTCGGACTCTGGGAATTCTCTTAAGGAAATTCAGAGACAGTCAGGCGACTGACATTCGAGACAAGGTCTTTGCGCTACTTGGTATGGCGCCGGATGCAGAAGCCGAGATCACGCCAGACTATGAAACGGATACCCGGCAGATTGTCCAAAAAACAGCCTCCTTTCTTGTATTCGGGAAGGTTGTTGATAAGAAAACATACGAGTTTCCGTTGTGGTCATTGCGTGAGCTGCCTGAGAAGACGGATGAGATGGTCGAAGAAGCGCTTCACAGAATGATGAGCGGAGGAGGGATCTTATCAACCGATGTCTGGATACATGTTCCCGTCAGCCTTGATCCTGCCGACTTGCTAGACGGTTGGAATACTCGTGGCGAGTATGGCCAGTATAGCACGGGCTTTGTGCGATGGAACGATCAGCGAATCCTAATGAAGCTTGCGAGATTCGTTTTTCGAGAGGCATTAGACACTCTCGCTTTGCTAGGGCCCGAACCTAACCTTGGCCAAACAGCGTCTCGACCGTCAGTGTCACTAGCTGTATGCCTGGCAGCCCAGTATCAGCAATGGAAGGTTGTGAAGTTGCTGATCGGGTATCCGACAGCTGTTCGAAAGTCGGATATGGACAGCCTTGAATCGCCGGGGCTGACAAGAGCTATCTGGATGGCTGCTTGGAAGCGTCACTTGAAGATGATACGCCTGATCAAATATGGCGTGGACCTCGATGCAAAGTGGGAACATGGAGATTTGGAGCGAGCAGATGCAATTGATCTTTTCAATGCCCTTGTTGTGGTCGACGGCGCCTCTGATTCAGCTCTGCCCGAGTTTGACGACTCTGGAACCAATCTGATTGGTTGGTGGCATATCTATGTTCGAGAGGTCAAGATTATGGAATTGCTGGCAGCCCGTGGTGTCCCGTTGGACCAAATTTGGGCGTTTCCGAATCGCAAGAACTGGGTTAGTAATGCGCCCAGAATTGTCGAAACGTTTATCATGCATGGTATGGAAATTGGACCCGTGTGCAAAGCTCTTTGCAAAGCTTCGGGTGTTGGGGTGGTAGACGGCTATGAGGATTGAGAGAACTTCATGATATCCAAGTTTAAAATATCCTTTGACACATTCTGCCAGGCCGCCCAACCATCTTCTCCGAGATCCTCCCCGATCTCATTGCCTTGGATCTTGAACACAAACGCATCTCCAGCAAAGCACCGAGTCCTTCCGAAAATGGCCTCGGGAAACCTCTCATTCTTGGGCAGATTGTCGAGATCGAAGGAGTAGAACAAGATGTAGAGTCCGTTGCAGCTTGCCAAAGGTTGGTTCTCTAGACGGAATGTCTCAATGTCTCGCCATTGCCACCCTTGTTCTGTCTTCCAGTATGGGCGGAGGTCTGGGATATGTCCCCAACAAGCATCGGGGCCGGTTTCAACACCGTGGGTAGTTGTCGTGATGGTCAAGAGGTGAGGCTCTATTGAAGGATCAGATGGAAAGCGGATGCCTCGGATCGTGACGAGGGTGGGAGGTGTTGGAGGGTCGTCGACATGAAGAGAGAATACAGAAGCGATGAAGCGTAAGGAATCGTTCAGGAAAGAAGCCATCACTCCGTCAAACTGAGCTGGAAGAATTCGTTGTTGTGCGGGGTCAGTGAACTCAGCAGTTGCACCTTCCATGTGTCAATTTATTCCCGTGGGGTGGTGGGACAGAAGGTTGACAGCCAATCCCAGGGCATCGATATCAATTAATGATCATTCTTTTGGCCTGGGTTTGTTGAAGCCCCTGTCTGCTCTATGATGCGTGATGTTGTGGCCTGGGCAGAGATCAATGTATCAAGCAACCGAGCGTCAAGATTTGATATCATTCCACAGCCAACAACTATGGTCCCGATGCAATAGAATCAGATCGATTAAAACATCTATTATCTATCCATTGTGCTGCGAATCACCGCTTTGTCCCAGTTCTTGGCATGGCTATGACGAGATTTACCCAAGAGTCCAGGCGCGTTTGATCTCCCGCCAAAGTGACACATTGAGCACTGACAAGGCTGCAGATAACTTCAAGATCGACAGGTTAAATCCTTTCTGGTGCACCACATGAAGCCGAAGCGAGCACCTCACCAGAACACCGGGCACCATCTGCATTTGCTCTCGAGGCGGTGGAAACATCCGAGATGATGACGATCGAGGACAATGCCGACACCATATTACCCTGATCCTCTCCAAAACCGATACTCAAATTCCTTCTTTTTTCTTTTGCAATGCGGCTGGCCCCATACACCCATCTTTCAAGAGTCATGAGCCTACATTTTCTTCAACATAGCAAAGATGTGGCACCTCTTCGCCTCCGGTTCGCTCAGCGGCTCCCTATTTTTCGCCCTCTTTTCCCTCGGCCCATTGGCTGAAGCAGCACAGTGCTATGGTATAAACGGACAAAAGACGTCGGGGACACAGTGCAGTCGTGACGCTACAGGAACAGGTTCTTCTCACTCATCATGTTGTGATGAGAGCAGGCAAGAAGCCTGTCTCTCCAGTGGCCTCTGTTTCGCAACTCAGAGAGGGGACAATCACACGTTTTGGTCTCAAGGATGCACTGACCCAACGGGAATGGACCCGGCTTGTCCATCTTACTGTGGGAGGTCGAGCCAGTACATCTCTATGCCGATACAGCCATCATATACGATGCTTCACTGCGGAAGCGGCGCCTGGTGTTGCTGTTACGACAACCTCGGAATGGCATGTAATCAGGCGCAATGTTGTGCACGAAACTTTACCCTTTCTCGAGGATTAGGAACCGTAACGAGGCAGTTCGATAATAATGGCGACAGTGTCAGTATCTCTAGTAACGGAGGAGCGAACCCCGAGAATACAGTAGACAACCCAATGCCCGGTTTACCTGCCAATATGCCCCCTTGGATGCGCCTCGTTCCCGTCATCGCAGCCGGTCTGCTTGCTTCACTTCTTCTGGCCAGCATCGTTGCACTTGGATTTTCTTGCACACAGAATAGAAGATTACGGCGCCAGGTTGAATCACTCCAAAATCTCAACACTAGTCTCACCACCGAAAAGCTACGAAGTTATAGCATATCCCGTTCCAGCCCAACTTCGTCGGCGAGGCCAAGTGTTTCTGCGCCATCAGCTCCGCCTCTATTGATTACAACAGCGGTAGCGAACGACGATCCGGTCAGCTCAGAGCCCAAGACTTCAGTTGAAGACTACCTTCCACCGATATCCGCTCGGTCTCCATTGACAGCAAATACTCCCTCGAGGTCGCCACATGATGGCCCAAGCCGGACCGCAATGGAGAGGAGGCCATCATCAGCATGGGTCCCTGAAAACAGCTACGCAAATGAAGAGCCAATCCGCACCCCGAGAACTCCGATCACTGCGGCGTATCACCATCACCTGTCAATGGTCAACCAAGCCCTAGGTCCATCGTCGGCGAGATCTATGTATGGGGTTGGGTCATCAGATCCTTTGCCCCAAACCCATCCACAGCACCACCATTATCAACATCCGCAAGAAGGTCAGTGGCATAGACCACCTGGACACCCTATCGCTATGCCATCACCAATCAGGCCCGCCGCTCACGAGGAGCAAAGACCGAGCTGGCCAATACGGGAGGGACAGAACGCGAGGTACACTACGTACACTCAGAGCGGGTATTTCCCGGACCAATCTGAATCATACAACAGCAGTACGCCGCCAGAGTATCAGTATGAAGTGGGGGGTAATTCGATTTCGGAACTGCCGGGGTCAGCAGAGAGAGGGAAACGTTGAGATATAGTTTAAGACTAAAACACGGGGTTAGCTTTGAGTTACCTAAGCCATGTTTGTAATGCCATTTTGCGACTTTTTAGAGTCTGGCTAGTCACGGAAATGTAATTCATGATCCATTTCAACCAAGCTTGACTCTCGGTAGTCAGTGTAGTCAACACAAGCTTCTCACTAGTGGTAGTGCAAAACCCTCCTCGAACACACAACCCCAGCACCATAGTAACACAAAAACATTAACCCTAAACGCCGCAGGCAGCTCCCAACCGTTGTTGTACTCCCTCCAACGCTCGGCAACAGTTCTCATCTTGGTACCATCGTGGCTGAGCAAGCATGGATGCCTGTACGCCGCAAACACCGGGAAATTCCATGTGAAGTCAACACAAGCTTTTTTGATGAATCGAGGCGGTGCAAAGCCACGCCCGCCCGTTGAGCCAGGTTTGTGCGTGCTTGGCGGGTACTCGCATACAACAACAGCACCGTTTTCTCTACCGCAGGAAACCTTTCCAAAAGCACTTTGTGTATTGTATGTATGCCGGCCCTCGCCTAACACAACATCTTCTCGATATAGAAAAAAAAACTCTACTTCATATCCGAAACTTGCCGAACGAAACGGGTAGAGGGCTCGGGGAAGATGGGCTGGCTGTGAGCAGCAGATGTGTGTGTGCGTCGGCGGCACGGGTTGGTGTGATCCCGAGCATGATGGAACAATGAAGTCGAACCCAAAGAACGCGGTGCCACCACCAAATACAGACCCTTCCACCGAAGAGGATGACGACGCCAGAAGACCACATCAGCGGGTGTGGAACTTCATTCCCGTTTTGCGTGTTTCCTAAACTCCGAGAAGCTTTGAACTTTCGGATATCTTATCAGTGCGGAAGGCATTACGCCCCACACGGGAGAGATCTAACGCACTAGATAGAAGCCGCCATGAAACAATGAACAAAGCTCGGTGGTGGCAACAAACGTGCTCCATGACATAATTGCAAGATAGGCGGATCGAAAAACAAAGGACAAGAAAAAGTCCGTGGAAAGGGTACTCCCGAGACCCACAGACAACCTCATCTCAAGCTCCTTACCCTACGAGGATATGCTGGGCAACGTACCTATCCAAGACGGACCCCTAGCTTTGAAGCTTGTTTCCCTACGGGGATAGTTACCAGTTAGTCAACAGCACATTCAACATTCACAAATCATCGAAAGCACAATCAAAACATTATGGTAATAGTAGTCTGTATTGATGGCACCTTTTCATCGGCCCCGTGGTATCAAGAAAAAGAGACAACAAACTTTGCAAAAACAAAAAAAAAACCCATGAAAATCCCAAATTTGATCCCCCAAAAGCTCCCCCCCAAACCCCCAACCAGCTCTCTTTTCCAGAAACACTGAAAGGCGCTTGTAAGAAAACCTCCCGATCAAATTCCATTTCATTCCCTTCAGATTCATACCCCTCACCCATCCGCCCCATCAAAGACATTACATATGCGAGCCCAACATTCAAAAAAGACATCAAATGCCATCATGGACGCTCGCTAGATTTGCAAACGAACTCCTAAATCGCAAAAAAAAGACTCAAAACTCCCATCTAACTGAACCCGTTTGATACCGGTAAAGTATGTACAAAACGGAAGAATAGACGGAATGTGCTGGGCTTTTTTTTTAGACGAAGACAGTATGCAAGACGCGCTTCCAGGCGGGCATCTGAGCAAGCCTCTCGCGGTACTCGTTGATCTCGTCCCAGGGGAGCTCGCGGCGGCCAGTGTCAACATCGATCTGGTCGGTGCGGAGCCAACCTGTTCGCTTCCAGACGAAACCACCGATCCAGAAGACGATGACGACGGGAAGGGCGAGGTAAGACTTGAAGAAGCCCTCGACATCGTTGAAGCCGCCGCCGACGGGGCAGATGGCGACGAAAAGCTGAGCGATCAAGACGAGGATGACGAGGATGAGGCCAAGGTAAGAGCCATAGACACCACCAGCGGCCTTGAAGGGAATCTCATCCAGAGTGTGACCCTGGCGAGCCCAAGCCTTGCGGAAGCGGATATGGGCCAAGCAGATGGAACCCCAGGTAAAGAGGGCGGCAAGACCAGACAAGGCGAGGAGCCAGTCGAAGACAACGACACCGGAAGTGCTCAGGTTGACATAGGCGAGGGGGCCGAAAGCGCAAACGAAGAGCACGGAGATGAGAGGGCGGCCGGAGCGGTCGATGTAGGAGAAGATCTTGGGGGCATAACCCTGCTGGGAAAGGGCAGTGAGGGTACGGGAACCACCATAGACGGAGGAAACACCGATGGAAAGGACGGAGACCAAGATAATGACGTTCATGAACGAATCATAGCCGTGAAGATTGGCATCGAGACCGACCAGAACGAAGGGAGAAGCATCGACGTTGATGTACGGGTTGTCACCACCGAGGAGACGGTCGTCATCGTGGCGGACGAGGAGACCGATGAAGGTGAGACCCAGGATGTAGAAGAGGGTGATACGCCAGAACACCTGCTTGATGGCACCGGGAAGAGACCTGACGGGGTTGCGGGCCTCAGCAGCGGCAAGACCGACCAGCTCAGTTCCGGAGAAGGAGAAAGCAGCAGTGACGAAGACGGAGCAGAAGCCACGGAAGCCGTTGGCGAAAGCGCCAGGATCTTGCCAAAGCTTGCCACCAGAGTATTCGTCGTAAGCGCTGCCCTCGGGACCACCACCACAGACGAGGACGACGGCAATGATCATGAAGACGACAGTCGCTCCAAGCTTGAGAACCGAAGACCAGAACTCCTCCTCAGCGTATCCGAGAGTGCCGAAAACGTTGACGATGATGATGGCAAACATGAAGACGGTGATCCAGACAGCTGCAGAAAAGAAGCCATTGTCAGTATCCCGTTGTTTGATTGTTTTGGGTGCTTTGTGCATGGTTGCAGTGTCAAAACTTACCAACATTGATGTCTTTCGTCCAGTATTGAATTGTGATACCGCAGACCGTGAGTTCAAGAGGCAAGACGATAGACCATTGCATGACGTAGTTCCAGCCCATGGCGAAACCCCAGGAAGGATCGATGAAGCGAGTAGAGTACGTGTAGAAACCACCAGAGACAGGGAACATGACAGCAAGTTCGCCGAGAGCGTAGACCGTGTTGAACATCATAATACCAATGATGGAGAAATCGATGAGGAGGGTTGCGGGACCACCGGTAGCGAGGGCCTTTCCGGAACCGACGAAGAAACCAGCACCGATAGAACCACCGATGGCAATCATGTGCAGATGGCGGGCCTTCATGGTGCGGTCGAGAGAGTCGATGGAGGCGCCATCGCCACGTCTCTGGAAGGACTTGAGGTTGAGGCCATTGCGAGTCCAGAAGTCCTCTTGGTCGCGATGCTGGTTGATGGCATCACCACCGTGGGTGAACTGTGGGGGAGGAACCTCCTTCTCAGGAGTGACAGGGAGGGGTCCCTTCTCTTCTGAGGACGACATGTTGGTGAGTTGTGATGGTGATCAGTGTCGATGAGGAGAAAAGGAAAAAAGACGGCATGTGAGGGGGGGACAGAGGGGGTTTAATAAAGACAGAGGCCGAGTAAGAAAGAGAGAGGAGGAGTTTCGCGGCTGTCGCGTTACCCCAGGGTCGGGGTGTGGTCGCAGGGTGGACTGACTGGGGGGGGGAGCTCAAGGAGCAACCCAGGCAGACGGAATCTATCTTGACGATTGGGTTCCAGGAAGCACGGAAAGTGGCTAGAAGCTGCACAGAACGAGCCAAGAGGCAGAATACAGCCAATTGAGTGTCGATCGGGGTTTGCGGGGCCTTGATAGCAACCCTGGGAGCGGGTTTTATTACCATCTGAAAGTAGAAGGAGCCAAGCACCAGACCCAATAACCCCGATATACTGCGCGTCCGCGGTACCAACCCGCTACGAACGAGGTCACACTAGACTCGACTGCAGCGAGGTGCCATTCATCAGGCCAGACCGAGGACGAAGACGGATAGGCACAGGGATGGGGGGGGAACATGTTAACGGAGGCTGGCAGGCGACACGACATACATGATCCTTGGTACCATTAACCATAACGGAGATGGGACGATCACTGCGAACAGGAGTTTAACCTCTACTGCTAGCTTTCCCCAGAACGGGAACTGGCAAGTTGAGAAAGCATGGAACTGGGAACATGTCGTTCATGGAAGCCACAGCCAATGGCAGAGGGAACTAATGGCTAACATGGCGAGATTCCATTTGTCAAGCGAGCAACCTGGGCGACCTGGGACGACGTTGCTGCGATGGCGCCAAGGCCAAGCGACAGATCTTCCCCGCCACTGCCGTTTTGCGATAGGGACCTCGGAGCGCCACTGATGCTTGATCTCTTGTGACCATGCGCAACATGCCACACCTGCGCATGGCCCGCTCCTCGTTGAGGAATAGCTCATGGCTCTAGTAGTGACTGGTGACGTCGAGCAGAGGGGAACCAGGCCTCGGATCTACACCCTCGCCGTCGTCGTTTGTTGTTCTCGGCATCATCAGGCACCGCCGAACAAAGAAAGCCATTGACGACGGAAGCGAACTCGAGGGGACGCAACAATGGACACCTTGCCCCCTTCTCCCCCAGTCGTGTCGCATGTCACACCCGCGGCAGCACTAGAGCACGCTGACGCCGATCAACTCAACGAAACGGCATTGGCGTTTGGAGAGCGCGGAGAGGTTGGAAGAAAACGGCAGCTGGCTTCTCTCAGGCGTTGAGGCCAAGCCGGCGATATCCCGGTGCGGCTAGTCATTGCCTGCGCGGTGGCGTTCCGGCAGCGTTGCTCTCTTATCTTGTCCGTCTGGGGAGCACGAAGCCGTCGAAACGGCCAGGTCTCCCAAAGCGATGCCATCATTCGTCAGTTCATGCCCCCGATTTAGTGTGCTCCGTCTTGGCATTTCTTGCCAGCTTCCAGACCAGGCAAAGCTTGGCTACAACCCCTGCTCCTTGGCTTGGCGTCTAGCGGCTCTTGGCGGCGGTCCCCTGCCAACTACCTACCACCACCTCGCCAGCTCTCCCACCTCACCTGCTTCCGCCAGCGTGAGCAGCCAGCAACGAAGGATTTGGCCCTTATCACCGTTCGGGCAGGCCGTCGCATGTTGGTGGGCTCTTTCAATGCATGGTGAGCTCTCCCTCGTGATAAGATGGCCACCACTGTGCTGGGAGAGAGTAAGCTCGTACAGCTCGCTAAGAAATAAGCTATCTACCGCCTCTATAGGTAGGACACACGATAACAGCACTACATCCCGTCGACACTACCGAGGGAATGGAATCGGCAAATACTCCTTCATATGTTTGGAGCTCTGCGCGAGTCGTAGCTCCGTTCTGTTCAGCCTTCCATATTGGCTGCCCTCCTCTACCGCTTGATATCCACTGGGTGAACAGAACGATAATCTGGCATTCTGGGTATCTGTGGGTGGGGGGCTCAACGGGCGACGGGGAACTTGTCGGTGGGGCAAACATGGATGGCGGGCGGGGAATCCTGCTGGACCACAGTCGCGATGCAAATGGTTCGCAAAACGGCAATAACGAGAAATGCCATGTAGCCCATCGAGATGGTCGTCATCAGGAAGAAACACTCAATTCTGCCTTGAGTAACCCTATCGCAAGTGGCAAGAAACCCTCTCGATTCAAAGGACGAAAGGGAACTTTTGCATCAAAGCTGCAATTCGGTCGGTGAGGCCCGTCAGCGCATCCCAAACTTGCTGTTGGTCCGTCGGTGTTTCCTGGTTGCGCTATGAACTTCACATGTCAATATTGGATTTGTCGCCTGTCGCCCGTCGTAGTCGCATCGCATCGCAGGCGCACTCGGGACCAGCCGGTGTGTGATATGTATTGACTGGCTCCAGACGAACACAGCATCGGATTTTGTGTCTGGAAGCGGGCAAGCTTCACAGCCTGAGACGGCGTCGCATGGTGAGCTGGCGCCACGCAACACACCTTCATCAAAAGCATGATCAGGCGCGTCAGGCACTGCGATGCAATGACAGAAGGAGACTTCCATCCTTCTAGAAGCTGGGTGTTCCCGCATACCAAGAGACTGGCACATTTCCCACCTTTCGATGTCTACAGTAGCCTCACACACTACCGATCTCTGGCGTGCTCGGGCTGCGGGAGGGGAGGCTGAAAGCACACTACACCCCAACCTGGGCACGCGACCACAAGCCGCAACAGGCCATCAGCAAAAAGGAAGTTCCAACGGTGCGCTCAGAGCGCTCGCCAGTCTTGGAAACAGGCTCGCGAGAGTGAAACAGGAAGGAGAGCACTAACGACGTTTACTAGAGCATTCACCAACCGCTTTGCCTCTTTATCGACGCTCTTGAGCTTCCATATGTGACAAGTGCTCTACTATCGAGACTGGCGCTATCACCAACCCTCACTACAGTGTACGCTATACTAGAATCCCCTCTAGGAATGTGATGGCATGTTTCTACCCAGTTTCACGTCTTCGCCTGATGCTGGGCTGATTGATGAGGCTTTTGCAGGTTGAGCCATCAATTTGGCCCCGGTGTCCAAAACGGGAATCACCAAAGTCGCCTGACTCCACCTGCGTCTTTTCCCCGCATTTTGCTGATAGCCCATGTAACCTTACACCCCCACGATACCACAGCTCCACTTATCAGTGCCAAGCATCCTTCCGACGGTGCCCCGGCAGTTTTGGCGAAGGTGTTGTGTTGTTGACGCTCCGTTTGCTTGGCTGGGATCATCGATGTCTGACAACAACAGCTGATGGAGTCGCTATCGAAACCGAACCTCAATTTATTGAGAGCTCAGCGCGAACTGCAGGATGCGCGAGTCAGAAGTCAGAGAGATGGGATGACATATCTGTCGTCCCATGTTGTCTGGCCATGCGGGCTGGGCATTGTAATCGTCGGCGACCTCCACCTCGTCCCGTCGACCTGGACTTCAGTGGGCACCTGTGCCTCGACAAAGCACAGTTCTTGCTGCTGGCGGATGTCTACATAGCTCTAGGGTGTGTATGTTTCCCATGAAGTCTATTTCTAGTCCTTGCTTTATCTTCAGCCACAAGCCGTTGAATCGTATAAACTTATTGGGACCTGTACTATAGAACCATGTCAATGCAAACTTAAACGTGAACGACAACAACCGCTCTCTAAAAACACAAATTATTTGGTATCACGGCAGTATCAGAGTAACCTAGGCAGGTAATCATCTTGTGGAAGCCGTCGAAGTGAAAGCTCAAGTTTGATCACCTCGTGGCTTTAGTTTCCTGTGATTATTCAAAAAGAAACAAAAAATCAAAACGAGAATGGCTTAAAGGTAGACTTTAATGTCATACATCTTGCATACAACACACTCAACGTAAAATTCAAAGAACTTGATATTCAACGATAGCTCCCGAAGGAGACTCATAAAGCTGGGTGATCACATGTCTCTCCTTGGACGCCTCTCCTGCCGTTGACGGTACAATCTGCCATCTCAGATCCGATCTCCCCTGTCCCCTACACAACAACAACACATGCCCATCGCAGGGTCCAAGATCCAAACCCCTGGGTCTGTTCACCGTCAACAATGCACACACGGAAAGCCTCATCCGGATCCGCGACAATGGTCACAGCTCGACCAGACCCCCACCGATAGGTGCGTTCCCTAAGGTAGTGTACCTTCTGATATGCAGTCCCTCCTCTGAAACAACAAGGCAGGCAGGTCTCAGTACCAAGCTGACGGGACAAGACGGGATCACCATCATTATCAAGATCTCTACGACGTGTTCCTGCCAATGTCGCCCAAGGTCACACCACAGCCCAAGGACTGAAATGATGGTGTCAAAACGGAAACTCATGTTAATATATCACCGAAAACGGTACAGATATAGGATAGACCCGCAAAACAAAAACGGTCACTCGTCGCTTGGGTTGAACCATGCAAGCTCTCAATGGCACAGCGGACGGGAGCACGCCCGACCGCCCACCACGTCCATGCATCCAGACCGCATTTGTTGCGCGTAGGTGCAGTCTACAACCGAGCGGATGCGACGCTGTCAACCTAATCAAAATAAGGTGTGGACATTCTTGCTTTCTCAAGCGTCTATCGATGGCGAAGGGGGATGGGGAATTAATATTGCGACGTTGGGGAAACTGTCCACTGTCAACGTGATAGGCGGCACTGGTTGGCCAGAGTTTGAAATCGTCAACTTGAGATTCGTCGAGAGCCAACGATTGGAAGTTGGGTACAACTACCGCTGTAGCCACATGGACGGGAGTGCAGCTGTTAATTTCTCCCCTCCTTCAGGCTATTTCCCCCAAGACACTGTGCACGATCATGGTTCTGGATCGTGCCAAAAAAAAAAAAAAGAAAAAAAAAGAAGAAAAAAGCCAAATAGAATTGCACCAAACTATGCAGCACTCCCTACATAATGCACCTAGCATGGAAGCGACAGTCAAAACCGCATTTAAAAAGATGGGGGACAGAATACGTACCTGCCCTTTCCAAAAGATCGAGAACAACGTTAGAGGGCGAGGCGTGTTCCTTCTGTGCATGGCGTTGGAGTAAGCTACCCAAAAGGGAAGGTGGTACCACTGAGGGAGTGATGGGTGCGAAGGGATATCTTGCTCCTCCCCGATGGAACAAACACGCAGCAAGCAGCACGACACGACCCTGCCTATCGTCACGCCCCTAGGTAGCTTGCTCCACTCCTCCCTCCCTCCTTCGGTGTTTGGGGGCGACCATTTAGCATTCCAGCAATGGCGGTATCACCAATCACTCGGGATTTTGGAGCCTCCAAGCAATTCGTATAATCGTATCCTTGATCTCGGACTGTTGGATAAAGATGTCGGTGAGGAGAGAGAGAAAAAAAAAATGGAGTCACATGTCGGCCGAGTTTTGGGAAGGAGGAATGGAATGTCGTGGTGAGGAGGTTCTTGGCTTTGTCTTGACGGCTTCCTTACTTGGACGTTGGCCCCTTTTGCGCACCTCTACGGATAGGTGGCAGGAGCGAGAGAAACTGGGAGGTGGAAAGCGGACTTGTACATTGGCAGATGCAAGTTGGTAATTAAAATGCTGTTGCTGTCTCGTACCCAACAAAGGGGAACTGCAACCTTCCAAAATATATCAACCCAGACAGATCATGTGAATCTTGGTCCCTGCGCTTATTCGATGGTAGTAAGATGTGCTGTTACGAGCCGTACCTGCTTTGATTACCATTCTTTTCCTTCCCTTCTAGAAGTATTCTATGCAAACCACTCACTGGCGGCTACTACCTGCCCTTTTATCTCTTCTTGAAAATGTTCCTTTCCCTTGGAGGTAAAAGTGGATGTCGATCAGCTGTTCCCGAGTTTGTTGGCAGGTTGCTGACGGGAACAGCCCGGGATCCTCCCTTTATTAATTCATGGTGTGTTGAAAGATCTGGCACCCGAACCCGAAGATCTGGATCTTGGATCTGGGGATGTGCTGGATGTACAATGTAGGGACGGAGCAGGGACGATGGCGAAAGGGGGCGGGTTTGACACACGTCTTTGTCGGTTCACCTTCCCTTAGGGGCACCGTTCACGGGAACGTGTGGGAAATAAAGTGACATGAGGGCAAGGGATCAGCCCACTTGCCCTTAGAGGTATTCTTCTCTGGAAAGCAACCCACTTGCCTTTAGAGGCACAAAAAATGGATCTTTTGGAGGTTTGAGGTTCAAACCGAGAAACATGAGATCGCGCTTAGCTTCGGAGATATCTTGCTGCAATGCACTTGTCTTGCGTTCTCCAGATTGTTGGTAGCGAGCATCGGACGGTGGACATCTGTTTTGCGCGGCTATGATCCGAGGGGATAGGAGACGTTCGAGGTGACCCAAGGCTGAGACTAGCCTGGATGTTTGACCGAGAAGAACCGATTTCATGCATGAAAGACTACGGTAGGAATGCCTAGATGTAAGAGACCACTTTCTTGCATAGAAGGCGACGGTACGAGAGCCTAGAAACAAGAGAAAGGTACGGTATCCTTGGTGCCTGACTAAGGCAGGTGAAGGAGGGTTGTCACGTTGGCGATGCAACTGGGTAAGGCTGCTGATTTGTATGATGGTGGTTCAAGGGGCGGTGTGCGTATGTTAGGAGCATTCTTGGTTAATATGTTTGAACTTGTGGACTTCATAGGTATTTGTGAAGTGCCTAGGTAGGTAGGTAATATGATGATAGTAGATACGTAAAGCTTGACCGCTGAGTATGATCCAAGCATCAACACATACAGGAAGTATCGAAGCACCCGACAAATAAAACTACTTGTAAAGAAAGAAACATCTGGAGACAACGATATTAGATCTTTCAGGCCCAGTTGATCATACCCTACCCCAGCATCAAGTGCATCTTCTTCCGGTCCTGTGCTTCCCATATACTCTTCACCACTCGTCCCAGTCCTCTCCGATAGGCAATGTCGCCTCTCCACTCTACCCACATCACCCAATAAAACTGGTACCATGGAACCCCTTTAGGTCTCTCGGGGTGGTTAGCATCTTTAAAATAATGGAAAAAAGGAACCTCCGTGGGTTCCCAAATTTCTCCTCTAGCCACCTCTACCAACGTTAAAGATTTCCCAGTCAAATCCAAGTTCACCGTATCAGATGTCTCGGACGGCGAAAGTGGATCTGGATTCAGGGTCAAAAAACCTGCCCAGGTGCCTATTGAGTCACGTAAACTTATACATTGTGCAAGGTACTCCGGCTCCCAATCTATCAGTTCCTCCGCTGCAAGCAGGGTTGCAGAACGGGTGTAGCAAGAGATCCAAGGGGCTATGGTCATGCCAGGAACTTCAGAATCGCCCTTCCCTTGTAGGTGAATCGGGTGGAAGAGACATCGCAGCGATCGGGACTCGTCGTGGTAGTTATATACCCAATTCGGACCCCGGGAGCTCGTCCACGGACGGCGTGTCCACCCAGGAGGGCATCGCGTCTTATCTGAATCAAAATATTTCTCCTTCAAGGCGTAAAATCTGTCCTTGATCTCAATTCCCGGACCGTCGCTTGTGGTGTGATAGGACCACTCGACTATGGGGAAAATTCTCTCGTGGAAGCATTGTTCTCCCCTCCAGGACCTGAGATTCGTTCCAACTGGCCTCCAGGTGTCCGCTACCCTCCAAATCTTTAGATCCAAGCTGCCTTTCCATGCGGCCCAGCTCCAACTCGGAACACAGGATGCTTTTGGTATCCCTCCTGGCCAGCGAAGGACAATGTCTTTCGAGAAAGGGAACCATAAAAGTCCAGCATAGAAGAAGTCTGCTGGGAGTCCAGAAATTAGTCCGCCCTGAAACGAGGAGAGAAGTGCTGTTGCGATTCCAGAAAATGCTCTTAAAGAATCTTCTGGTAGGGTGAAACTTCGCCTATTGTAATTTTCGATGATTTCTGCTAGTTTCGGGATGTTGGGGGAAACATTGTGGATTTCCGGATAGATACTGCGCTGATAGGGATATCGTTTAGGTGACGGCATCTGTATTGTGATATCGGGCAACCTAATATCCTCTCGCCATTGGGCGGACATACAGGTCCAATGGGCCGGGCCATGTTCACGAAGAACCAATTGTCTTCTGGAGAACAACTCTTCCTGAAATGTCCACCCTCTGGTAAACCACGCCCCCCTGTTTTGATCATCTTTCCAGTCTCTATGCTGTATATTTATAACGGTCGAAGAAGGCCCGAGACGCCAAGTGTGCTGTTGAACCTTACATTGTTGTGATATACCAAAAAGCCCGGGCAGCCCACTATCTGCATTCGTTGCACTGCGAGCGATTATCGTGAATGTAGCATTGGCATATATTCCGGACATGTTTTGGACGTCTTGGTGTTTCTGCTTGTCATCATCCTGGACAATACAGAGAGCATCCACCCAAAGAAACTTTTCGCCAGCCATCTCAACCACAGCCATTGCGTGGGTGATTGTTTTTGCCAAAGGCACGAATGAGAGGGCATTTGGTTGCTGCAGCCTCCCAAGATTGTCCATTGCCGTAGTGAATTGTTTGGTGCCGCCCCATACATAGCTTAAACACACATAACTATCGGTCAGTTGAGCCGGAACAAGACATTGACGCACAATGTCAACCAGCCATGCTGGGCGGATGGAAGCAAGGGCTGGTAATATCACACTGGAAGGCTTGCAGTGCTGGTGGTGTTGGTCGCAATCAGTTTTCCAACGACAAAACAAACTTGAATCGATCCAGTGTGCATGTATAAGCCTTCCATATCTGTCTAGATTGTCGCTCGGGTGTGAAGGGAAGAGAACAAAACTGTAGCTTCTCAAAGTGCCGTCAACCAGATTACCGGTCTGCCCCAACGTGGCCTCTATTCTGCATTCCCGGTTGTCGTCCCAGTGGTAACGCACAAGTCTAACAAGTGTGTCTGCTGCAATCGGCACTGGAAATCTGAAACGAAGAGCCCGCCCATTTTGAAAGAGCAAAATGTCCTTGTGCTGTTGGCATTTTGAGTCCACCATGACCTCTTTCCAGGTACCCAACACCTCTTCGAGACGTTCCTTACTTCTAGAAGGCGTGAAAGCAAGGATGATTTTCTGACATATCGAACATGATCGTTTCTGTCTCGGAATTGTTAAATTCACGACAAATACCCTATATCATATCGCTTAGATCGAGACGAAATTATACTCACACTCGATCCAATTTGTCTGGTAGTCTTTCCTTGTCTTTTGGTCTTGCGACTTTTAGCCATGTTGAAGGGCCGCTTGCGATGATCCTGCCGTACTAAGTGGAATGCTGAAGCTATTCGTTTTGATGGATCCCAGGGTGTTTTGAAAGTTCGGGTGCCTCCGTAAAAGGTGAATGCAAGCAAGGTTGGAGATTTGTCTGACTGACTCCTGCCCTCTTGCCCCGCTCCGTCTCTGCCTAGTTGTTGCTGCCTGAATTTCAGTTGCACCTCTTGGCATGTGTGACAACGACAACGTTACATAAGCCAGCCTCGTGAGGTTCTTCAAGTCTAGGTCGTCACTGCCTCTCTGGCTGACCTTTGGCGACCCGGCACGCCTCCTCCATGTCTGATGGGTTGTCACACCACCTGGCCTGGCGAGCGGCTGCCTTCCTGTGAGTTCCTACTCTTCCCTGAAATGCCACCCGAAGTTGTCCAACACTTAGCGAAACAGAACCGGCTACCTCAAAACCCAAGGCCAAAAGAACTGGCTCCAACGCATGGATGGCAACACTACCGGGTCCGGCAACCAAGAAGGCGTCAGGGACTGCCGAACCCAAGGAGACAAATGCAAAAACCCCACTCTCACCCTCTGTCCAACATACACCCCCACGGGGTTCTTTTGAACCCGTCGAGCGTCCTCCAACTTTCACTTGGCACTAGATAACATGCATGCAGCCCTCCTAGACTCCACCATCCAAAGCTCCCTTCAGATCGGCCAGATGGTTCGGGATTTCGCTTATGAGTCCCTCAACTTCGAATCCGGCCCAGATGTTGGCATGATTCTGGCTATTATCAGCTCCGCCTTTGGAATAATTGGCGGCCTTGCCTCTCCCATAAGGGGTGTAGCCGGCCTCTTTGGCACCTTTGGCTTAACAGGTACCAGAGCAGCCAAAGTGGCGACTAAAAGTCGCCACTTTGGCTGGGTCGACTAACTTGGGAGCGGGAGTGACAAACATGGTCGGGGCAACGCGCCTTGAGGATGACGAGCCAGATACAGAGTCAGTGACTGTGGGTGTTGCGACTAAGTTGGCTCAGGTCTTTGGGTTCTTCACAGAGGCAATCGAGGATATGCGTCTTACAATCTTTAACGGTGAGGAGAAGCCCAATGGGAAGAGCTTGACCTTTCATGATATTGGGCCGATTGCACCGTTTGGGGAGAATGAGAACACTAATGGTATTGGGATTGATCTTGATGCTAACCCTGATGTGTTGCCGCCTCCCCGGTGGCGCAGTTCTTTGGGGGTGGGAGGTGGTTGTTGGATGAGGAGGTTGGGCAGACGGAGTTTAACCAGCGGTTTTGGGAGGTTCTTGGTCTTGTTCTAGGTTCCCTTTAGGGCTTTTTCGTAAGTTTGATTTGCTGACATGCCTATTCCAACAGAAAAAGTCCCTCATCTCTGGTCTTTTAGAAGATATCAGGGCCTTCATCATGCGCGACTCCTCCAGCGAAGGCCGAGACCGCTGGTGCAACAAGGCCGGTGCTCTTGATATCGACGGTGAATGCTGGTTCATTCTCCGGGCTGACCCCAAGGATCCATACCTCACCCGCGAGATTGAAATTACAGCTATGAACTCGTTTGCTAACTACGATATCAATATTGAACACGTCTACCGCAACGCCATTGCCTGCCAAGATAAGCTGGGGATGGCCAGTTTGATGAGTGGAACTCAGTCTTCAACAACATGGGGACTGATTTTCTTCAGGCCCCGCCAATGGATGAGAATGGGTATCCTGAATGCTTCTGGGGTTCGTTGCCTGTGTTCAGTGTGACGGATGCCTCGAGGGAGAACGCGCTGGCTGCCTTGGCTGTTGAGGCTGCGACGGATGGGATTTGTGTGTCGACTGCGTTCCCTGGGCCTTTCAAGAGTGATCCTATCAAGGCGCCGGAGTACCTTGGGGTGAATGACTGTCCTGTGAGTATCGCTTTCTTTCTTCGCGATGGATGGAATTGACGATGGGGTTGAAAATAGTATGTCAGCGGCATATGAGAAGGTAATAATTTGGGTAGGTAGGTGTTGATCTTCCATGATCTTCCTCTGCCTCTCGTCTGATTTTGTATTGGCCTACATTATCCTCTTTCGTTTTTACACCTAATAATAATTCTTCGTCTTCTACACCATGGCTGATCCGAATGCCTGCTGGGAAGACCACGAGACGTTGCAAATGACAATAATGGTGTCCAGCCACTCTGACGGGAAGAGCTCGTATAGGGCACTAGCCAAGAGAAATGTATGAAGATATCGTCACATTGGAAGGCCGATCCAAGGGTCTGCAGGGTCTTCCAAGATGTGGACAGACCTGGAAATAGATTCATGCTCGAGGGCAGTGCCGCGTGTTCGACGGCGATCTCTCTTGTTCGTCCCTGCATGTTGCAACCAAGTTTCATAGGTTGGCTGTTGCATGGAGCTTTGTGCATGGCTCGGTCCGGAGAGGGTGGTGGTTCGGCTGTGTGGTGTGGGTGACCAGCAGTGACGTCAGGGGGTATGACACAACACAGCTCGCTCCAAGGACCACAAACAACAAGACAGCTTGTGAAACGCGCCGACCGGGCGCTGCACAACGACAAGCGATGCCTGCAAAGCGAGAGAGGATGGTTAAATTTCCTGTTTTCTGGGCAGGATTGGGTCACAGGTAGAAATAATGATATAAGTCAGGTTTTCCCCCTTTTGTCCGCTGCAGCTGGACCGTTCCATCTTTCCTGTTCACTGGTTCAGCAATATACGAAGCTGCGGTGCCAATAAGCATATCACGATTGATACAACCTGCTGCAAGCAAGTCAATTTACACAAACATACCTAACCCTTACCCCTATTTCTGATCAACAACGCCGCAATGCCTACCGTCCTAGGCCTCACCAACGACCAAAAGGAGAAGCCCAAAATTGGCGCTGCTCAAGCACCCAAGGGCTACCACGACGGCTCTCTCGTCCTTTCGGAGAACAAGAACCAGCGCCTCGATACCATCTCCAAGCGCAACTATGCCGCCGCCCACGAGATGGAGACTCTTCTTTGGAGAGCCATCTGCGACGACCCAGAGCAGGCCAAGGAGTACATCGCCGATGACTGCGTGATGGTCAACCCTATCTTTCACCCCGATCACTCTTCCAAGCCGGTGAACAAGGAGTCGGAGCCGAGTATCAGCGATCTACTGGAGAATGCTGGGAAGTTTACTGGATTCCGGTTCCATGACGGAGGTCCGCTTGTGGTCGAGGCGGGGTTGATGGCTGTTTCGACGGTGTACAAGTTGAGTTTGTACAAGCAGAGCCGGAAGGGAGGCATCAGGGAGATTTCGGCGAGTGGAAGCAGCAGTTGGAGGCAGACTGCGGGAGCGGATTGGGTGTTGGTTGCTTGGCATGTTGCTTATGCCGAGGATGAGGACGATGAGGATGATGAGGAGTAGAGGATGAGTGAGGGTTGAGAGGGTTGTGGGTTTCTTGATTTTTGGTAATTACGGTTTCGATGTATTATATGTAATTGTTGTAATTTTGATGAGATTTTGTTGAACCCTACCATGAACGAGAAACATATATGTGGCATTTGAAGAGGCATTTTACCGACGGGATGCACAGAGACGCGCAAGATTTTGCCAGCTTGGGTTGTTCAGTGTTGGCTGCCTTGGAGGATGACGAGGCCTTCTCCAACTGCATCAATAACCCTGCTCACAGTTCGCCCCCCGCACTTTGGAGCTCCCCGTGGCTGGCGTGGCTTTCTTCAACATCGAGACTGAAGAAGTGGGTGGCTGGAGATGACTTTCTGAGAGCATTGCAAAAGGCCACCTTCGAATACTTATATGTTGAATAGCGGTATTATACACTCCTGGAGTCTTTTTGCTCTGATTTATACACTCGAGGCCTGTGATACTGAGCTGAGTGCCCCCTCGGCGGCGCTGTCACAAGCTCCATCCTTGGCTCAACTCCAATTGCAATGACGCAAGTGGTCGCGACGGTTCTCCCAGCTCCCCGACGACAAGCTTCCCTCGAACGCTGAGCCCTGCGAACTGGTGTTCAGTTTACTTTATACATCAATCCACAACCGATTCCCTATCGTATATATCAATTCTTCTTGCGCACAAGACCATCCATTTGTTGCCACTGCCAACATCGTCTCGCACAACTGAGCGAGGCGCACTTGCTGTGGGACCGGGCAGCCTCTGGATCCCGACTTATCCGTTGATACCCTTCAAGGTTGCCATTCACAAAACCACAATATCTTACAGTTCAAGGACACCGAGCGCGTTACTCCCAGTCCGCTCTCGGAAGTCCAGCCACCAACACCGTTCCATCTACCTCCAAGATGGTCTCTCGAAAACCGCTTCCTCCAAATGCGACATTCGACCCCGCCGTACCATCACATGCTCGATCGCCAGAACCAAAGCCCGAAGCACAACAAGAATTCGTATTACCGCCCTTTGAATCCACTGGTGGATTCTGGGACGATACCTCGAACAACATAAACCAGAATCAAAACACCGACGCTGCACAAGACATGTCGAACTCGCACCAGCCAGGCCAGGCTGCTGGCAACTATGCGGGCTTGGAGGAGGAGAATGTCTGGGCTAATAATAATAGCTCTTCCAACCTCGATCGAGTCCTGACAGTTTTGAGGCCCGGAAGCAGCCATCGAATGGACAACACTGGATCTCTGGGAAAAGTGGCGGAGAGGACAGACGCGGGGTTGGATGTCACACGGGTGCCGACCATCCTCAGGCCCGCTGGCGGGCCGTCCAGTCGAGAGACCAACCCATTCAAAAGAAAGATGCATAACCAGGATGGATCTGCGAATCCTGCGTCAACATCCTCCACCACTCCTCTCCCAGAATCCCTGACTGGGGCATTTTCAGACCTAGCCGTTGGAGATACGACCAAGAACCCGTGGCAACCAGCGCTTAGCGACAACAGCGCACTTGGCCAACGGCCGTCGTATCAGTTACCAGAGCCGTCGCCAGGGATGGAGGACGGCTGGAAGGGCTCGGAGCCACCGCGCCCATCGACATCTACGCCACCCAGGCTCTTGTCACTCCCTTCGGAGGAGGGCTCCGCGGGCTGGGAGAACGAAAGGGACAAGCCCCCTAACATCCAGTTAGGGTTCACAGCGGAGGAGGACGAGGTTCTTGGTGATTCCCACGCCTGGGATGACCTTAGCACTGTCAACAAGGGGAATGGTACAGCCGCCGTGCCCGCTGTTCCTGATAAGGGCGGTTCAGACGACGAGTGGAATTTGATAGACGTGGATCCTCCTCGCTCTAGTCAGCCCAATGTCCAACAAAGTCCCTCTAATTCTAAGCCAAGCCCACCTCGGAGAAGGGATACATGGGAAGACTTTGATGAAGAAAAGGATACTCCCCAGCCGAGCACCTCACAACAGGTAGCAGCGCCCCTAACGAAAGACCAACCGCCGCCTCAGGGGAAAGCTCCTGAACTTCCTGCAAGGACTGAACTTCCACCACGAACAGAGCTTCCTCGACGAACATCAAGCGAGCAACCGCCGCCACAACCTCCCCGTCCTGTGGACAAGAACGAAACATACCACATCAAGAACATCAACTGGTTTGATATAACGGCTGCCAAAAACCCCAGATCGACACCTATTCTTGTTCAGAATGCCAACGGCCCCTGCCCTCTTGTTGCTCTTGTCAACGCCCTTACACTTACCACGCCGGCTGATAAGAACACGGCGCTGGTTGATACGCTAAAGACACGAGAACAAGTCAGCCTGGGTTTGTTACTTGATGCTGTGTTCGATGAGTTAATGTCCGAGAGGCGTCTTGATCCAAATGTTCCCCTACCGGATATCACCCAACTTTACAGCTTCCTCCAAGGACTGCACACTGGCATGAACGTCAATCCTCGGTTTATTCCAACAGAGTCTATCTTGCAATCTTTCAAGAGGACGTCGCTTACTCACATTCACCCGAGTCAACGCGGCGAGATGTCTATACCTGGAACTTTTGAGCATACCAAGGAGATGACACTGTACTCGACCTTTTCGATACCGCTGATTCACGGCTGGCTGCCTCGTCCGGACGATATTGTTTACCAATCCTTTGCGCGGCAGGCGGCTTCCTATGAAGATGTCCAGAATCTGCTTTTCCGGGAAGAGGAGCTAGACGATAAACTAAGTAGCAGCCACCACCACGAGGGGTTGACCGAAGAGGAGCAGCAACTGTACCAAGACATTCTTTCGATCAAGTCGTTTTTGCACAGCTCTGCCACGCAGCTTACCAACTTTGGTTTGGAGGTTATCAAGAAGTCGATGAAGCCAGGATCAGTTGCTATCTTGTTCAGAAACGATCATTTCGCCACTCTGTACCGACATCCTCAGACGCTGGAGCTTCTCACGCTGGTTACCGATGCAGGATATGCAGGTCACGCCGAGGTTGTGTGGGAATCTCTCGTCGACACCACCGGCGAAAAGGCCGAGTTCTTTTCGGGAGACTTCCGTGTTGTAGGTGGCGCTTCACATACTTCATCGACGCCCGCTGCTAGAACTCAAGGGTCTGGCAGCTGGGCTGATGTGGCCTCCAGCTCTGGCAACAGACGAAGCAGAGAACAGGGCCGTGGTGGCCGAAGCAGTTCTAGTGAGGCCCCAACCTCGCCAACAACTGAACAAGAGGACCGAGACTTTGCCATGGCGCTCCAACTCCAAGAGGAAGAGGACAACCGTCATCGTCAAGAGGAAGACCGCCGTCGTAGAGAAGCCAGGTTGTCAGAGCAGTACATTGAACAGCAGGGACGGGCAGCTCAAGCGCATAACAGCCGTGGTGGGGCCGGCTCAGGCCGAGGAGGCAGCCACGCTGCGTCTCGTAGTACGGGCTCGTTGGGATCCTCGGGTACCGCCAACACCGGCCGTCGTGCCCCAAGCGGAATCTGCGTCACTTCATCCACTCCTACAGTAGCTTCCTCGAACAACAGTGCTACGCCCAATCGTCCTCGGCCATCCACGCAAACAGTTAGATCGCTGATTCCACCTGTTCAGCCGGCGGCCGCGGCGAATAGAGACCCGGAGGCTGGGTTGGATGATGCTCCTCCTAGTTATGAGCAAGCATCTCAACAGGCGGCGTACGAGCCGCCGACTGGTCATCCGGCACACCCCGCTAGTAGCCCGACCGCGGCGACGTCACAGCCGGCGTCTACTCTCGGGGCAACGCAAAGGCCAAGTACGGGCGCTTCTCAGCCCTCGCCGAGGGTTCATAATGCCCCTAGAACGGGCGGAAGTGCTGGGGGGAGGGCGCCGAATGGGAGTCATGGGTATCCGGGAGCTGGAGGTGCTGGACCGGGGAGGCAAGGGTTGAGACAGGGGGTTCCAGTTGTGCCTGCTAATGGACGGTCTGGGGTGGGAGAGGAGAGGGAGAAGTGTGTGGTGATGTAGAGTGTTTTGTTTCAAGAAGCTGCTTTTCGGCTTTGCTGATGGGCGTGGTATATCGGCTGGGATTTTTGGGATGGGTTCAGATTCATGAGTTGATAAGTTTTGGCGATGGGTATGGTTATAGGGAGATGAGAGTGGTGATCACAGTACACGAGAAAATACCGAGCTTCATGTGGTGGAGGGTAGATTATTGGGGTAATGGAAGGAGTGGACTCGAGGAAGGGACCTTACTATAGTGTATATGACGATGTGGCGCTTTGGATTTTTAGTGGCTCATGTGGTGAAGAGTGTTTGTCTGGAATTATTAGATGCTGTTTGGTGTTGTCCAATTGTGATGTTTGGAGGTTTGAGGCTGATGAGTGGACACATTAGTTTTGCGTTTTGTGAGTGTTGGTTAAGATTGTTGAGAAAGAACTGCTGGAGAGTAGCAGATGAGTAGACAAATCCATCATTTACGACATTTTCATGTAAATGGCCACAACAACCAAGTCACACAGAGTGCCTGCATGGTTCCGTATGACAAAAATCATCGTGATCTGATGTTGGTGTTGAGATGGGATTATTGCCCGCTGGCCAATCAGAGCAGCGGAACCAGATGCTTGCACCCCTGCAGATTCTAGTTGCCGTGGCTGTTGTTGGTGATCAATATTAGGGGAGGTTTCGCTGACATCATTGGTCGAGACAGGCGTCTGGTAGCGAGATGCAACTGCCTTTGGGAGCTGCCAAAGAGGGGAACTTGAGTTTAATAGATGGTTGCTGTGCCTCTTCTTTTCCGATCCTCCCTCTGATCTTTTTTTTTTTGCTTGATTTAAAGAGGTGCGAAGTGTGGCACAGTAGGAGAGTTACATTGCGGGGAGCTGTCAGCAAAGAAACACCACACCACCGCCCGTGATATCTTCACCTCACCTTGAGTTCTCACCATTCGACAACACTTTATACGAAACAAACCAGGAAGGAATACAAACCCATCAAAATGGCCACCTCAACATTGGGTCTCATACCAAACTGGTACCCCCCCACCCGCGAAAACTACGACCTCATCCTCTCCTTGTGGAAGTGGTTCCCTGCCGTACGTTTCCCCCCTCCCTCCCCTCTCCAATCTGCCCCCAACTAACACTTCCAGTTCGCCTCCCTCCAATGGGCAACAACCTGGTACGGCATGGGCAAAACCTCCCTCCCCTCCCCGCTCAACCTGCCCGGCCGTCTAGCCTGGCTAACAATGGAATCCCCCGGCTTCCTCACCCTCCTCTACACCTTCTTTCGTCTCCCCCCGCAACTTTCCGTCACCGACCTCCCCTGGCAAAACTCCGTCCTCGCCGGCCTCTTCGTAATCCACTACTCCTACCGCGCCATCCTCTTCCCCCTCCTCCAACCATCCATGGCACCAATGCACCTCTCCATCTGGGCCTCGGCCTTCTCCTTCCAAGTCATCAACGGGCTCATGCTCGGGTCCTGGCTAGGCGGGTACGGACCAACCTCCCAAGAAGACTGGGATAACCTCTTGCCGTTTGGAACACTGCAGTTCAGCGTTGGCATCGCGATTTTTTACGTGGGGCTGGCGGCGAATTACTATCATGATGATGAGCTGAGGGAGATAAGGAGGAGGGAGAACCATCGCCAGGATAGGCTGGTTAAAGAAGGCAGGGTGAAGAGGGGGGATGTGAGCAGGCATTATGAGGTTCCCAAGGCGGGCTTGTTCAAGTACATGTTGTATCCGCATTACTTTGTCGAGTGGGTCGAGTGGTTTGGGTATTGGACTGCGGCGGGGTACGGGTGTGTGCCAGCGAGGTGCTTCTTGTTCAATGAGGTTGCGTCGATGTTGCCCAGAGCGGTGAGGGGGAAGGCCTGGTATGTTGAAAAATTCGGGGAGGAGAAGGTGGGGAAGAAGTGGGCGGTTATTCCGGGGGTTTGGTAGGATCAGGAAGGGAAAGGGGGAGAGGAGGTAAGATAGGGCGTGAGGGAGGGGGTAGTGGCCAGAGAAAGGAGGATAATGGTTTGGTCGACGAGCTGGAGCTGAGCTTGGTCCAGAGAATAAGCACACGATGACTTTCACGAGATATGCCATGACATATATTGCCAGGTCAGTGACAACGACGACGTGAATAACCATATCTTGTCACCTATCAGAGTGCCTCCCCGACCATCAAGCAAATATATCCTGCTAGCAATGCTCCAAAACACCCCTTTTTAGACTCCTTTAAATACCCGTAGCCTCCCGATAGAAACTCAAACTCCGACTAGCACCCGCCGCGCAAAACCTCTCTCCTTTACCCATCCCAGGCCCAAGCGCACGTTCGGTCGGTGGCAACCAGCGTACACACCACAAAGCCTTGTCCGTCTCGCTGTGCGTAGCCACACAAGCGCCCCTTGCGACATCCCAGACCTTGACCTTGCCATCCAGCTGCCCACTGAGGAGGTAGTCTCCCGTATCGTTCCAGTCGAGTGATGTGATCCACGACGGCCTGTTGCCCGGCGCGCTCAAGTTCGCGACGTGCTCTCCATGCTCCATGTCATAGAGAGCGATGATACCGGCGTTGCCGGCAGCAGCCAGCCTCTTGCAGCCGGGTGAGAAGGCTACGGTTCGTACCGGTTTGGCGAGACCTATCCCTCTGTCAGCTTTTGTCCCTCAAAACAAAGTGAAAGATGAACCCACCAGAAAGCGAATAAACCATCCTCCCCGCATCATTATTAAAGACATACACCCCCCCATTCTCATGCCCCGACGCCGTCAATCTCCCATCCCTACTCAAATCCACCGCCATCGCAAAACTGCCCCCTCCCCCGGCAGCTCCTCTCCCACCCCCGGTCTCGTACGTCTGTATCTTCTCCTTCGCTGTCAAGTCCCAGACGTGGATTCTCCCATCACTAGTGGTGCACGCCAAAAAGTTCTCGTCAGCGCTCAGCGCAATCGCCCAGACGTCCCCCTTGCCGTTGTCGGAAACGGTTGGGATCTCCCATTGGAGTTCGTATTCTTTTCTATCGGGGTTCAACCGCCAGATCTTGACATCGCCGCCGAAGCCGACCGAGGCAAAGATGTTGCCTGTTTGGGGGCCGCGGGCGGTGGTGAGGTGGTGGCAGCCGAGTTTGTGGGCGTTGGGGATGGTTTGGGCGAGGGGGTAGGTTGGGGCGGTGGTGTCGTGGATGCGGAGGGAGGAGGAGCCTGAGGAGGAGATGAGGCTTGAGGGGGTGGGTGCGAGGGAGAAGATGTCGGCCGGGTGGGCTGCGAGGGGAACTGGTGTTAGCTATCAAGGAAGATGGCGGGGCGAATTGCGATTGCTCGCCTACCTTGGTCGACCGTGTGGGCGGTAAGATATTGTTTAGACTGGAGAGTATGTTAGTACGTGATTGACAAACAAGCACGACACGAGAGACATACCATTGTCACCTATCCATGAAATCATGCGATTTTGAGAAAGGGTTTTGTTGGAGAGATCAAGAATGGGATCCGATGCGACTTGCTGGCGGTTGAGCAGCTGCCCTGGGAAGGTTTATGGTGGGGTAGCTGTTCTTGGAGACGTCACTGCGGCAGGCAGTGAGTGGGCTGGAAGGATGCAGCATATAAATCTAGAAACCCACATTGGACTACTACTAGTGATTTTTGGAGTATTCACTTTGAATATGCTATTTTGGTTTGTTTCATTTTCCAGGGCAGTTGTCGATAGCCACCCTTATAGGCACAAGAGCCCCTTTAGAATACACGTGCGTGCTGTTGCTCGTCACAGCACTACACTCTGTTAAGTACAGACATATACATGTACGTCCAGGACATTCTCTCCACGTCCTGTCCACAAGCTTGAAGAGTTGGTATTTCCTACGCCTGACAACTTCAACACTGACCCCTGACCTCAGCCCAACAGCACCTCATCCCGTTCTTATTCAGCCATTTATTTGGTCTTAGCCTTGACCTCTTCCTCGGCTTGAGCCTCCTCCTTGGCCTTGGCCTCCTGGTGCAGGAACCCCTTGAGTCCTGAAGAAACAGTCAGCTTATATGGAATCGCCCCTGAGCAGAATTTCCTTACTTGATGCGCAGGTAGGGCAGACATAATGCATACGCTTCATCCCACCACACGCCGGGCAGACGCAAAGCGCCGTTACGTCCTTGATAGCCTTGCCGGCCATTTGTCTGTGTCTCTTCTTCATGTGCGATGTCTTCTTCTTTGGTACAGCCTTGAGAATACCCTCCCAAATCCCCTCCAAGACTTCTGGTAATGATGGAAGACCGAGCGAGATGCCTACTGGGATGGCGATGTTGAGGTTGGGAAACAGGGGGAGCGAGAGTTGTCGTACAAGAACCTGGGCCCTTGATGCCGAGAAGACTGTTGGTGGGAGGAGTCTGGGGAGGAAAGAGGCCGAGGAAGCCATCCTCATCGCTGGTGCCGCCATTGCCATTTTTGCTTGGTGATATTCTTGAATTTCGAACTCGATTGTACCGCCAAAGTAACTCGTCTGAAATCGACCAATGCCTTCCTTTCCCTCTCAATATTCCGGTATGTCCTCCTCTCGTGGCTGTACCGTGGCGGTGCGGATGACGCTGTCGGGTCGGTCTCGGTCGTCGACCCAAAAAATATTGTCGGCCGGTGCTCTTCGCGATGGATTGTCCCACCACTTCAATCCACTCGAGACATTGAAAAAGAATGGGCCGGGATGGCACGGTCCCTCTCCTGCTTCTGAGCTGCCACTGCAGCGCTGGAGAATGCGCTAAGACCCTCTAAACCCAATTGAGGTTGTGCCTGGGGCAGCAGCTCCACCAGGCCAATCAGGTGCCGGCTATGACCCGTCCCCCTTTCCCCAGCTGGCGAGCGACCCCTTGGACGGAAATTATTGTTTGGCACACGCTGCCGGCAGGAAAGGTCCACGGTGCTACCACGAAAATCCCCCAACCATTCGAAACCTCAACCCGACAGCAACTCTCGTCGATACACTCCATCTTCACCTCTCCATATCCCCCGTGAGCGCCTCTATTTCCCGGTGCTTTGCCCCTGTCTGCTTTTTGGAATAGCTCCATAGCGTGTCTCCCGTCTCCAGTCTTCAGCCAGTTATAACCTACCGCCACAATGGCCGCCATGCCTGCTGCCACCATCTACCCCCAGAGCCACGTCGGTTTCGACAGCATCACGTCCCAGATCGAGCGCAAGTTGCTCAAGCGTGGCTTCCAGTTCAACGTCATCTGCGTCGGTCAGTCTGCTTCTCCCAACTAACACTTTCCATTCTCCACTCCTCCCGTTCGCGAGCTGGGATTGACGTGTCTCGTGCAATGCAGGCCAGACGGGTCTCGGCAAGTCGACCTTGATCAACACCATCTTCGCCTCGCACCTCATCGAGTCCAAGGGCAGGTTGCTCCCTGACGAGACCATTCGCTCCACCACCGAGATCCAGTCCGTTTCGCACATCATCGAGGAGAACGGCGTCCGCCTCAGACTCAACATTGTCGATACCCCCGGCTATGGCGACCTCATCAACAACGACAGGTGCTGGGACCCTATCGTCAAGTACATCAAGGACCAGCACTCGGCCTACCTCCGCAAGGAACTCACTGCCCAGCGTGAGCGCTACATTCAGGACACGCGCATCCACTGCTGCTTGTTCTTCATCCAGCCATCGGGTCACTCCCTTAAGCCCATCGATATTGTCGTGCTCAAGAAGCTCTCTGATGTTGTCAACGTCGTTCCCGTCATCGCCAAGTCCGATTCCCTGACTTTGGAGGAGCGCATGGCTTTCAAGGAGCGCATCAAGGAGGAGTTTGCTTTCCACAACCTCAAGATGTACCCCTATGACAACGAGGAATTTGACGACGAGGAGCGTGCTGTCAACAGCCAGATTAAGGTGCGTTAATAATTTTGGGTCACTATTAGGTCTTGGCTAACATGATTTTCAGAGCTTGATTCCTTTCGCCGTCGTCGGTTCCGAGAAGTCAATCATCGTCAACAACAAGCAAGTCCGCGGCCGCCAGAACCGGTGGGGAGTGATCAACGTTGAGGACGAGACCCACTGCGAGTTTGTCTACCTCCGAAATTTCCTCCTCCGTACCCACCTCCAGGACCTCATCGAGACGACATCTCAAATTCACTACGAGACCTTCCGCGCCAAGCAGCTCTTGGCCCTCAAGGACCCCAGCGCCCAGGGCCACGGCAGCAGACCCATCAGCCCGGCTGCTGACCGCGAGATGAGCCGCAGCTCGCAAAGAATGACCATGAACGGCTACTAAGACAACCGAGCCTCTGATCACGCATACACACACACACACACTTACACTTATAGTAGTGTTTATTCGTCGCCTACAACATATGACCATGACAGACCTTTTGATATCCCGGCAGAAGCAGTGCAGTGCCACCAGAAACGCAGAAAAAGCTCTTACAACATCGAAACGAGAACGGGGGGACGGAGCAGCGAGGGTTGTGGGGAGGGAAAATAGCGAGGCGCATATGTGATTGCGGTTTGGCCGTCTGGTGTTTTATGTCGTCTTGTTGGCAGTTATTCCGGTGGACTGGACTCTTCTTATTATCCTATTTTCTTTTTATTATCCGAAGCTCTTTCGCATCTTTGCAACTTTTTTTTTCCTTTTCTTCTTTAATTACCCCGGGCCCTCCACAAATTAATAGAGAGCTAGTTTCGATACCTGACGGAGAATACAGATGAGATGTTATGAATGTGTATTTGAAACCGGACTGTCTTGAGTTGATGATCGGTGTCCGTTGTCTGTTTGAACTGGCCATCAAGAGTCCGGCTGTTGGTGGGTTGGTTGTAGCTGGGTTAGGGTTTATAGCTCCAACCGCCACTGACGCGTTTAGACGCGACCAATTACTGCGGACCAAGAACTTAAAAATCGACACCTCACTTCTGAGAATGTAGCTTGCCATCAACTAGTTTTCAATCATTAATGAAGTCTGGAGTTTTTGTTCCTTTTTGTTGATACCCTCCAACGCGTCTCTTTTTTTCTTTTTTCTTGTCTCACTCCTTCCAACAATGCCACCACCCAAAAAGGTTGACAAAGGGATCGTTTCCCTCGACCGGGAAACTCCCATTCAGGAGGAGGTCAAACCGCTGATAGAAGACATCCTGAGGACAAAGTACTGCGTTCAGGGGTCGGTGTTTCTTGTGGAGGGGATCGACACGGTGAGGGTGGTTGGTGGGGCGGGGAAGATGGTGAGGTTGCTGTTGGGGGATGGGAAGCTGGTGATTCAGGGGTTTGTGAAGGGGGTTATGCACTGGGTTGTGGAGGGGGGGAAGGTTTTTGAGGGGGGGTATGTCAGGTTGGATAAGTTTGAGGTGGTTGAGATCGAGGGGGAGAGGGTGTTGGTGATTGGGGATTTGAGGATTGTGGGGTGGGATGAGGGGTATTTGGGGGTTTTTTTTGGGGAGGGCAGGGAAGAGAAAGAAGGCGGGGG